ATTTAAATAAATATAAAATGTTTAATTTAAAATCTTTGTTTGTTGTATAGTCTTTAAAATAAAGTGAGCTGTCAGAAAGATAATTTTCCAATTACTTTTTTTAAAAGGAATTAGTCGTAGCGTTCAGACCTTACTTACATAATTTGATGCAAAAATTGACACCATAATATATTTTTTATTTTTCATAATATAAATGATTATTTATAATAAAGATTTAAAGTAATTTGTACCCTTAATTTGGAAAATTGGTCTTAGTAATCTATTTAATTTTAGTGAATTTCTGCAAATATGCAATGAACTCTTTTGTTTTTCAAGTGTAGAAAACTATGTATAATTAAACAAAAAATGTTCTTCAGTTTTCGTGAATCGAATTATAATAAAAACTTAACCAATAATACACCCCTGTTCTCATTATCAGCAATATGATTACTCCACACCCCGTTAGTATCGATTAATCAATTCCAAAATAGTCGCATTTATCATTAGTAGTTTTTTTCTTAAAAGAAATTTAAATGTCCATTAAGGAATCTACATGTTCGAGCAAATATGCACTCCACCAATCAGTTTTTTGTAAATAAATAAAATCTAGATTCGAGAAAATTCTTTTCTCCTTATTATGATGAAAATTCTTTTTACATAAAGTTCAAATGAAGAATAAAACTGACTTTCAAAGTAAAAAGTTCTTAACAAATGATTTTTAAACTTTCATGTTGTTAAAAACGATAAAAATTCTGTCAATCTGTTCTTTTAAGAGGGAAGATATTTTGTGAGAAAGAAATAGCTTTGTTTTTTTTTTGTTTTGTTTACTTTTTCTTAGAAATACTTTATTTTACACTTCTGAAACTAACAGATTTTGCAGATTCAGAATTTCATTCTTCTGTCAGAGAACTATTAAGTTATCAAAAAAAAGTGCTGACTTATCTCAAACAGTAAAACTTATGTCATTAGTATGAAAGTGGTTTTGGCGAGAACTGTCACATTCAGTTTTAAAGAAACTATTCAAAGAAAATGGTTTTGAAATTTTTTCACCAAATTTCACGTAATAAATCTTTGAATAAAAAATAACTGCGAATTATTCGATTAAAAAAATAGTAATGACATAAAATATTAATTTTAGTGTATAAAATTTTTTAATTCTTAGTGGATATAATTAAACGATCAATTTCTGGCATTGTACTGAATTTTACCTAATAAATCTTTAAATAAAAAAGATTTTGTTTGAAAATTATGACATAAATTATTCTCTTTATTGTATAGCTTATATTAGTGAATTTCATTAAAGAATCTATTCATAATTCTTCATAAAATCCAAATCATCTATTCCGATATCAAAATATCCGTTTTACTTTGATTGGTAGAATGTCTTATTTGAATCCCTTAAACCAAAAGGAAAGATCCCTTAATCAATTAGAACAAATCAGTAGTTGTGTCCAGGGTTGAACTGAATATCCCTGATTCGGATGGGTGGCTCTCATGATTCGAAGGACGCTTGAATCAGTAACGGAGACAAGCACTAGCGTTTCTCTTTTTAAGTTAAAATAACTTGCTTTTGCGTTGATTGGAAATGAAAACCACTAAAACTTTTAATAGTTAGCCCAATGTCAACGGAAATCCAATTTATGATATCTTTATTCCGTTGATGCACATTGCTATACAATATTGTAGTAACCTTAATAGGCGTCAAATTGAATCATATTGTCGTTAACATTTGTTGCAACCTTACTAAATGTCCAAATGAACCACATCGAAGTTCGTCGCAACCTTACTAAATGTTCAAATTAACCACATCGAAGTTCGTCGCAACCTTACTAAATGTCCAAATGAACCACATCGAAGTTCGTCGCAATCTTACTAAATGTCTAAATGAACCATATTAACGTTCGTTGCAACCTTACCAAATGTCGTAATGAACCATATTGACTTTCACATTTGCTGCAATTAACTGTCAAGTTTCACCATATCGTTTTACACATTTGTAGCAATTAACTGTCAAGCTGATCCACATTACCTTACGCATTTGTAGAAACCTTGCTAAATCTCAACTTCAACCATATTGACGTTCAAATGTTTTGCAGCCTTGAGAAGCACCAAATCGAGCCATATCATTCACATTTGTTTTAACCTTCGTAAGGGCTCGATTGAGTCATGATGTAATTCAAAATTAGTGCAGCTTTAATACGATGTAAAGTTGATCTTGAAAGTTAATAATACAATCAATTACTCCACAATACTCAACTTTAGAGCAAACAAAGTTGAACACTAGCACAGCTCAAAATGCACCTATATCACGATTCAACTTTGAACCGATTTTCTAAGAATGCACTAAATGTGGATACTTTTTATCATCACTGTGATCGGTAGTGACAATGAACAGTATACTAAAACTTGGATAAATCGTGCTTACTCAATATTGACATAAGTATTCTACTTTATTTGAACACATTCAAAAATATCCAATATTCTTTTTCTAAACTCGCAATTTTAAAATATTTAGTTGCATGGGACAAACGGAAACGTATGATTATTATTCAAATGGAAATACATATGTTTTATGTTTAAACCAAGACTGTCATTCGCTTCACGTGCATTTGGAACCCCTACAAATGGAATAAACAAAGTTGCCATTGTTTTAAAAGTGTGTGGGCTTTTAGCGAGTTTTATATTCTTTTGATGTTTGCGTTTCACCGCCAACATTAATAATGACAAATGAACTGAAAAGAAAGTTCATTGCATTTATTAATAAATTCTGAAATTAAAAGAAGAATGAAACTTGATTATTTGTACGAAGATTTTTATGAGAATTTTTAGCTTTAATTAACAACAAAACATAAGTACTTTTAAATAAGGTAAAAATAAGCAATGTTAATTTTTAATATGTTTTGTTTTGTCACCTTCTTTAAATCCATGAAAAAGCTAAGTTTTTTATTTCACACTTGGAGGCTTAGCAAAATATATGACTGATTTTTATAATTAAGCAGTAATGCAATATTTAGAATGCATGATCCACATCGGTTTTTTATTACCTATATGATCTATGCCTAATCTTAGGAATATTTTTAAATAGGACTTACTTCTATTCACTGTTCTATAAATTATACAAATTTTGTACATGGAATTATAATTCGTATCTTAGTCACTATAGATTAACTAATTGCTAGCTATATATATNAAGATATATATATATATATTATTTTGAATATTTTAAACATAGTGCAATGCAAACAAATATTCGAATGTTTTGCTTAGGGCAACGAAAACTTTTATTTGAATAACTAGTGTGCAATATTAGATACAATGAGATTAATGCCTTTGTGGCACACTTAGTGCCGGAAAGCATAAATTACTACGAAGTTAATATGAACTATCTGCACAATGAGAATAATTATTAAAAACTGCTTATAATATTTCACGAATTTAGACTTTCCTTTTATTTTGATTTGAAATAAATCTTAAATTTTATGGATTTTTCAATATTTTTTCATTTAAATATTTAGATGAGTTCTTAGCAATTTGCAAGTTTATTTTTGATATTCATTATTTATATATAATCAATAACAATGAAATTTCAACTTCTGAATTTAGGTAATTTAAATTGGAAAGATGTATAAGACTTCTTAATTTAAAAAAAAGTTCGCTGCTTTACTGACGAGTACTTTATTGCTCATTGGTTAACAGGTCAATAAGCTATCCTAGAATACCTACTACAAGTGGTATCACACCAAAACACTTATTTAATAAGATAAAAAAGAATAATAAGTTCAATTTAATTTGTAATGCAAATTATATATGCATTGTTTTTTTCTTCGGATACTGAGTGCAATCCTAATAATTACAGATGTAGGATAGTTTTTTTATTTAATTGTTTACTTCATTTTTAATAAAATTTAAGATATTTATAATAAATGTAAAATTTGCGCTATATGGTAAAAGTAATTCTTTTCATCATTTATATCTATAACTCTGGTTTTAATAGTCAAATGTATCCATTATGATGATATAATTAATATATATTATGATATTCACCGAAGAGCCATTACATTATGACCACCCTGCTAATAACATGTAGAACCACCTTTAGCCCTTAAAACTGCTAGCACCCGCTATGGCATTGATTCCACAAGGTGCTGATAGGTAGTTTGAGGTATCTGGTACCAAGCGCCCACCAACTGGTCCAGCAATTCCCTCAGATTGCGAGGGGGTAGCGTGGCAGCATGAATTTGGTTTTTCAAGTAGGACCACAAATGCTCTATTGGGTTAAGATCAGGTGAATTTGGGGGCCAAGACATGACTTGAAAGTCACTGGAATGTTCCTCGAACTAATCTATGACGATTCGACCCTTATGGCATGGTGCATTATCCTGTTGGTAAACACCATCCCCCGCAGTAAAAACTGCTGCCATGAATGGTAGAACCTGCTCTGCAACTATGTTCAATTAGCTTACAGACGTCAGGGATTGTTCTATGAGGATTATGGGTCCTAATGTGACCCATGAAAACATTGTTCCTGGGCGAGAAACCATGAAAACATGGGCGAACCCATTGTTATAGATGGAGGGTGGTCATAATGTAATGGCTCTTCGGTGTTTACTTATTATGATAATATAATTATTATTATGATATATAATTATGATGATATATGCATATATTATGATGATATTCATGATATGATTTTTCTTCAATGATTCTGATGCGCTTTAATTTTAATTGGAATATTTCTTATAATTTTTTGATTCTATGTGTTTACTTAAATATTAGGAAAAACTTACGTATGCATAATGTTTCGTAATGACCGGCCTTAATATATTATTTTAGAGTCTTTTTAAGAAAATGAATTTTAAAAGGGTTACAAACTTAAGCATGGAAAATAAATGCAATCCAAATCTAATGAATCGTAACTGAGGCTGAATTAAAAACTTCGAAACTTGTTTTCAATTAAAGATATGATTTTTTTTATAAACTAATTGATAAAATAAACTAACGGAATCTATTTTTTTTTACAGACGGATGGCAATGCCAGCTTTTTACGAGCTGCAAGATCTGGAAATGTGGAGAAAATAGTTGAATATTTAAAAGGAAACATCGATATAAACACAAGCAATGCAGTAAGTAATTTTTACTTTTAAAACACCTTGTTTCGCCTGAATTACCCTAAATATTTTGAATAGATCATGCAGTTATCGTTATTTAGGTACTGCTTTATTTATCCTAAATGTTAAGAATAAATTGTAATTTTGAACCCAATGTGGAAGACAAGGGTACTCCTGGATTAAGTATTGAGAGAAATTTTGCGTTCTTGGAGTACTTTTTGATGGAACAAACCCGCATTTGCGTTACATGGAGAGGAAAGCCACGAAAAACGCACAGTTGGTCTTACTGCGAGGGGACTCTAGTCCATGATCCATCTACCACTGAGGATATTTTTGCACTAGCAATGTGGTCGGCGGAAGCCGGGTGCGGACTTCGTATTGACCAGTTATAGCTGGGATTCGAACCCGGTTCACTTTCTTGAAAAAAGGTCGCTGTATCTCCCGAGCCACCATGGCCCGTGGAAGTTGTTTGTCATAATTCAGCAGCAAATCAGGTTCGACACACACACGTGATGTCACTTGTATACATTCAAGTAAATTTATACAAAACTGATTCAGCGTGATTGTAAACGGAGCCTAATATCTGTAACGCTAACGCGCCATGTACCACCATGTGATTAGGCACATGTATGCGATTTCAGCTGTTTTCCTCTTGAGTTGCAAGTACCCAATTATAAAAAGAAACAAGTCTGATATAAGTTTAACACATTCTCTGCCAATCTAAAACAAGCGTGTTATAATCAAAACAGTAGACTTCCGGTTTGGCTCCACGATTGTGTTGAAGTTAGAATTTCTTAATTCATGAACAGCAAAAACTAATGAGCAAATCTTTATTAATGAAATAACTTCAGAAATAGCCGACCAGGTGGCCCAGTGGTTAGCGTGTGTGACTGCGGAGCCGATAGTCGCGGGTTCGAATCCTGCTCAGGGCATGGATGTTACTTTCTCTCTGTGCTCTGTCTTTTCTCCTTTGTGTGTGTGAATGTGACCCGCCCTATAAACGGGTTTGCGGTTGTCTGACGTGGGCATCGCTGCTCCACGGCCGTGGCTTCGCCACAGGTGCCCACTGGGTAACGAGAAGAGAGTAGCAGTTCTGGCATTTTCTGAGGCCAATGGGTCTTCGTCCCAAGTGCCCACCATTAAGAAAGAAAAAAAAATTCAGAAATATAAATAGCTTATGAGCTATTTTGTATTAATGAACTTGTAATAATCTTCAAAAACTAAGTTATTCATAATAAATACTTTAATAACTAAATAAAATTTTTCTTTATAGGAAGGAAAATTACTTACTGTGAATAACCTATGATATTGCTAAAGTGTTTTTTTTTACGCAGTGTTGCAGTTAATTGTATGCAGTATACACTTATAGCTTTTACCAGTCGTGGATAAATAGTATGATTATACCATTTGTTTATCAGTAGCACGCTTAACTTAAGCCAGTTCTCTTTCTAAATAGTGCACTTAGATAAGTTATCTCTATCAATAATACGCTTATACCTGTTAATCAATAGCACGCTTAGAGAAGTTCTCTCTCTCAATAGTACGCTTAGACCAGTGGTCTATCAATACTGCGCTTATATCAGTTGTTTTTATCAATGGTATGTTTAAACCAGTTATTTATCAATAGCCCGAGAGCTTGATCCTTTTGCCAGATTTTCTGTCAGCCGTTAATAGCCAATTAGTTTTACATGTAAATCAGTCATGTCAAAGATACGGCCCGCGGGCCACATCCGGCCCCCGGTTCGTATCAATACTGCTCGCTATCGCGATGTGTCACAGAAAGAAGAATCGTGTTTTTTAGAGCTTTTACACTTCACTCGATTCCTCTACGGAAGTTTTAAAATGTGCACACTACATTTATAAGTAATTTCAAGGGCAGTGCGTGTCTAGACAAGCGAGAGAGATAGACAGTAACGCCATTTCTTAGCAACAAGCGGAATCTTCGACTGGAATATACTTAGCAGCACAACTACGGATGGCGCTCCTGCCATGGCTGGCAAACATTCGAGCGTTGTAACTTAATTAAAACTGAAAACATCAGGGAATTTTGTGGGATTTCCCTGTATAATTCATCAGGAATCATTGGCATCCAAACATTTAAAAATAGACCATGTCATGCTACCTATAATTAAAATAGTAAATTTTATAAGGAGTAGAGGACTAAATCACCGACAGTTCGGGCAGTTTTTACAAGATTTGGACGAAAATTTTTTTGATGTCCCTTATTTCACCGAAGTTCGTTGGCTCAGTCGAGGAGTAGTTTTAGAAAGATTTTTTCCATTACGTGACCCTATTCAAGCTTTCATGTTAGAAAAAGGCAACCCAATTGATTGTGACAATGACTGGTGGATTGATAGTGCCTTTTTGGTAGATATGAATTAACACTTGACTGATCTGAATGTAAAGTTACAGGGTAAAAATCTGATTGTCACTCAAATGTATTCATGTATTCAAGCCTTTGAAGGAAAGTTGAGGCTGTAGGAAAATCAGGTAAAAAATCAAACTTTGGATCATTTCCCTCATTTAAAATCATTTGGCACAGTGAAACAAAAAAAAATTGGATGAATATTCTCAACTTTTGCAAAATCTGATCACGAAATTCAGCAATCGTTTTGAAGACTTCCACAAAATGAATGAAACAGAATTCCCAATTTTCAATACATTCAATTTTGAAGCTTCACAGGCACCAGTTCATTTGCAAATGGAGTTGATAAATCTTCAATCGGACAGTATATTGGGAGAAAAATTTAAAGAGGTTAACGCTCTTACATTTTATACACAATATTTCAAGAGTTTGGATAACTATACGGAATTAAAAAAGCATGCATGTTTGGTAGCACCTTTTTATGCGAGCAGATGCTTTCCGTCATGAAAATAAATGGGAACAAACATCGTGCAAGACTTACGAATAAACATCTCCAATCAATTCTTAAAATAATTGCTGACAATGAGCTTGTCAAAAACAAGAGAAGTCTGGTATTTATAACAGATAGAGTTATAACTTTGATATGATTCTTAACAACCGTATATTATAAACTGTATAGTTAGATAAGTAAAATTTTATAATAATTCAGTACATTTTTTTATTTGCATCTGGCCCGCCTACATATTCTAAATTTAATATATGGCCCTCTGCGAAATTGAGTTTGACACCTCTGATGTAAATAATATTGTTTTTGCCAAAATAAAAGCTAATTTCAAAGGACCAAATTTTTGCTCACGCAAATTCATTTTTATCATTAAAATCTTTCTTAAGCAAAAGCAAAGTCCAGACTTCTCTCGAAATTACCAATCATTCCTACTTGTCTAAAGTATTTCTTTTATTATATTAAAACCTTTTAGAACAAGACTGGAATATTTGTATTTTAAAACGTAGTTTATGTTATGAATGTTAAGTTGATTAAAAATGTGAAAATCCCTTAAATTTATTTCTTACCATTAAAAGAACATGAAGTTTTCGATCTTCAATCATCAGTTTGCAGTAACTTAGATTTCTTTTCTTCCAGAATGGCTTGAACGCATTGCACCTTGCAGCTAAAGAAGGCCACGTAAATGTAGTGACAGAACTATTAAAAAGAGGCGCCAACGTAAATGCAGCTACTAAGGTAAATACGCCTTCAATATTTTAAATCTTTTTTCTTCTTGTAAAATGAAATTTAATTAACTTGGCTTTTTGTTTACGTAAAAATCTCATCATTTTATTATTAACTGAGTTACCATTTAAGTGAGATAAAAACGTGTGCAAAGCTTAAAAAAAACTATGTTACTAAGTTAATTTTTATGTTGGAGTAAATTAGGTGGATAAAAATTTTCTTCTTCTCCCCCCCCCCCCTGATTTAGTTTTTTCAGATTTTGGAACTTCTCCAAGAAACTTACAGAATGTTTAATGAATTTTTGTTCAAGAGGGAAAAGAAATTTTTTTAGCTTGTTTAAGTGACATCTATAATAATTTAGTTCCTATTGTCATATCTGAAAAATACTGGGCATTTTTTACTCATTCAAAATATGTTTTGAAAGCTTTCAAGAAAAATTATAATTTTTTCCAATATTTTTTTCTATACATTTATTTAAAAAATATATTTTTTTAAGAATGCAGCTGTTTTATTTAAATATGTTTAATATTTTCTGTTTTAATTGATAGTGATCAAAGTATGCAAAAGCGCTGAATATAATTTGACTTTGAAAAGAATATATTTTATCATAAAAATGAAAACTTAATAATTGTTCGGTATTGAAAACATCTAAATCTACATTTTTTTTGCACGCTTTTGCCTAATTTTTCAAAATTTTTCTTAGTCATTCAGATTAAAGATATATTCTTTTCATTTCTTTAAGTTATACCTCAAATGCAGTGCTTTAATTTCTAAAAAAAATACTTCATAACTAAATTTGGAAACAAAATACATAAAATACCTGTGCAAAATTTAATGGTAGGCCTTTTTAATTATTTAAAATTTATTATTATCATAAAAATAGATAAATATTGAAATAGAGCATGCATTCTTGATGTTTTTGTAAAAAAAGAACAGTTCATATCAAAACGATCTTAATTAAAAAATAAATTTTTTAGAAAAAAATCTTTTCAATCCTTTGTAGTATATTAAAGTATATTTGTAGTCTTCAAAAACCCCACAACAAATAATAGCTTAATAAGCATTTTTACATACAACTCCACTTATTAATTTACTTATTACACCAGTTTACTGCTTGATCGATATACTTTCGGTCTCTTATTCATTTCTGTCTTTATTCGTTACATCAAGAATCATTCATAGTAAAGTTATCCAGAGCGTCGCGGCATTCATAAAAAATATTTATAGTCAATAACTAAAGGTCATATCCTCATTCCCTAGAACAGCTTAGGCTTATAAACCTATAAAAGATACCGCGGTTTTTTCCTCGAACATTATAAAAATGTATGAATTGTGCACGCTTTTTGTATCATTTTCTAGAAAAACGACGACCATACTGTCCTGGCTTTGTTCAAGCACCATGGTGTCATATTGGCTATATGATTATCATTTAAACATTGGTTGCTAAAATAAAAAGAATTATATTAAAACCTAATTCAAAAAAAGAATTATATTTACAACTAAAGTGCCATTTTAAAAAATTTCCTTGGTCTCTTGCATTAATAGTATGCTTGTAGACATAGATAATCATTATTACTTCAAAAAAAAAATTTAAAAATGGTTTTCATATTCAAAATCTATTTGTAAACAAAAATTAGATTCCGTTAGTCTTAACAAATTCAGATCACGTATTCTAAATCGTTTGCAACTTTCAAGATGTCATGACTTTGATAATAATTCTTTTAACTGTTTCATATACATATAATACCATGGCAGCTTAAAAATTAAAACATCTTAAATCGTTTGCATCTTCAAGAAAGCAGTTGTTATAGCGTTTACATATTCTAAATCGTTTGCGTCTTTCAAAGCATTGCTATGATTTTAAAAAAATATTTTTTTGAATGCTTCATTATACATCTAATCTCTGGATGAAATATAATAAGCTTTTGTTTCTGTAATAAAATTTCTAAAAGCATGCCATAAAACCTAAAGTCTTAAAAATCTGAAAATCTCAAATAAGTTACCTTTTTTTAATCAACTGCATTTTAATGTCAAGTTTCATTTGATTTTGTAATAATTGTTTATTTTTAATGTAATTCTTTTTGTTATTTTTTAAATGTTTATTTCAGCGTTTTATAATTGTTAACATTTATTTTCAGAAAGGGAACACCGCCCTCCATATCGCTTCTCTTGCTGGTCAAGAGGAGATAGTTAAAGTTTTAATTCAACTGGGTGCCAATGTAAATGTTCAATCACAAAATGGCTTCACACCTTTGTATATGGCAGCTCAGGAAAATCATGATTCGGTGGTCTCGTTTCTATTGGCTAATGGGGCGAACCAGAGCCTTGCAACGGAGGTAGAGTATCATTGCATTTTATAAATATACTACCATTTTAAAAATAAAAATAAAATTGTGATATTTAAAAATCCTTTAATATTCATGGATTTTCGTTTCTTTTGTATATAGAATCGTTTTATATCTAGCCCTCCTAAGAAATTTGACTTTTCTGGTTCCATGACCTTAAATTACCTAAAACTATTTTTTTTAAATCATATTTTTCTTAAGAAGTATTTGGCTAAGTGGTCATGCATGTCAATATTTGCTTTTTCACTGCAAGGCAAAAGTTTCTTTAGATTGTTTATGTATCTTCTCAACTTGTTTATGTATCCTCTAATGTTTGCATATCGTCTCCCGATATTTGCTTAATGTAGTAATCACGTGCCCTGTGGCGTTGAATCATCTTGATAATCATTACTCCTTATGTTCCTTAATCAAATGTTTTTATATAATTTTTGTGACAGGTCCTGTTATCCCGAAATTATGAGAAATCTTATAATTTTGTGAATTTCTGAAATTATGTTCTGCTTTTATGTTGTTTTGAGAAAAAAATAATGGAAATCTCTGGTCCCTTTAGAACATTTTGTGCAATGTTTTTTTTATTTTATTTCTGTTGAAAATTTACTCATTATTTTCGGAATTTATAGTTATTGTAAAAGGGTTTTTTCTGCCAGGCTTCTATTTCTGAGAATATATAAAAAACATAGTATACAAAACAAGTCATTTAAGAAGTTTTAAAGTTACGAATTGTAGACATCATGGACTTCCATTTTTTTAAAGGAAGAGTTTCATGACAGTTCTATTGAAGAAAAAAAAATATTTTGCAGGTCCTTTTAGTGATAAACCAATTTGGGAAAGTTTTCTTAACAATACTTTTTTGCGATGGGCTTGTTTTTACCAATTCGGCTACACTGGAACACCTCAGAAGAAAGCACCAATGTGTCTCGTCTAAGAAACCTGGTGGAGACACATGTTATTTTCACCTTATTTTATCTAATAAAACTATAATTTGTCTTTAATTGAAGAAAAAAACTTGTCCTGTAAGGATTAATGATCCAGATATCTCCTAAAATTACCGCTGCCAAAATATGTTATTAAATATTTTCTTGAATAGACATTTTATTTTATAACAGACAATGAACGACTTATCCAAATTTGAGTTTACTACTACCAATGCTCAACTCCACAGCCTTCTGATTTTGAGCTCAATCCGGAAGACAAAGGAACTTATGGATCAGTACCCTCAGAGTTATTGATTTGTTGCGGGAACTTGTTGGACTTTCTGACCCCGGCAGATTTAACGAGCACCGCTCACAATTTTATACACATGGATTCTTCGGCAAACTGGATTCAAACTCCCGTTTCAACTAACACTGGTCCAAAGCTCTACCAACCAGGCTATCCTGGCCCTTGAATAGATATTATTTAATATTTTCTTAAATTGATGTTATAAAATAAATTATTTTGCTGTTTCAGGATGGCTTCACCCCACTAGCTGTAGCGCTGCAACAGGGCCACGACAAAGTTGTCGCCGTCTTACTTGAAAATGATACAAAAGGCCGAGTTCGATTGCCTGCTCTCCACATAGCAGCAAAGAAAGATGACTGTAAGGCAGCTACTCTACTGCTTCAGAGTGATCACAACCCGGATGTTACTTCTAAAGTACGCTCTTTTTCTTTCTACCTATCTTTGATCTATCCTTTGCTTTAAACAAATCGCATTTAAAAAACTATCAACAACCACATCAATTCTCTACAAATTGTCATGAAAATCGATCGAGTAGTTTTTCTGCAATTTAAACACCAAAAAAAGAAATGATTTTAGGAAAATCAAGTTTAAAATTTTTGAACTTTCCACTTTGGGTTTTTCAGGTCATCAATCGGTGATACCTGGACCATATTTGCACGCAATCCTCGAACTGATAGATCGCACACCCATAGATCACATTTTAAATAGGTTTTTTTTCTCGGGTTTTTCAGATCATCAATCGGTGATACCTGGGCCCTATTGCACGCAATCCTCAGACTCACAGATCGCAGACCCAGCTTCTTTGCTGGGGTGTTCCGAACCCGCAAGGTGAACTGCTTTCCGTCTTTTGAAAAAATTTGAATGTTGTGTTGCCTATTCGGATACCCATGACATCCATGATGCTGGGTAAACCCATGAAACCATAGCCGAATAATTTCAACTTTTATTTGCTGGAATATATGTGTTGTGGAGAAAACGTGCAAATAAGTGAATTTAGCGATTCATTATTGCTTTGACTGCTTGCGCCAACACATATTTCTACTAAATCGCCATTTAACTGGCCTTAGGCCTGATTACCTCCTGTACGGATTGCCTTCTGCGCCATCCGCGAGCCCGTTTTTCAACTACATCAAATAGTTTCCGGTCAAAGCAGTTTCGTATACTGGTACACATACTCCGTAGTATAAGATTTCGAAATATGCAGTTTTTTTCTTTTAAATTTCTGAACCAGAAAACCCCTCGAAATCTTTAGCGAGCTGTAGTTCGTTAATGTTCGTATTATCTTTACACGATTTAGGGCTAGATTAATTTAAATTTATTTAATGCTGGTTCCAAATGCTCTGAAATCTCATGAAAAAAGCTTTTTAACCAAAATTTTACCCAGTTGACAATTTTTAAAAGGTTTTTAACTTTTAAATTACTTAACTTCATTTGCAAAAGTGCTACGAAAAACACTCTTAAATTCTTGCTCTAATGTTATACTGTCCCAATTTTCATATTGAAGCTTTTTATGTGTTTCTTTACAAATATATCTGACTGTAAGAAGGTTTCAAAAGCGTTTTTTTTTCAAATATCAATTTAATTTAAAAAAGAGAGCAATGTCTTTTTATTTTTTGTAAGTAATTGGGTTTTTTTTTCAGAGTGGTTTCACACCATTACACATAGCCGCTCATTATGGTAACGAAAACATAGCTAAAATTCTTCTAAGTAAAGGTGCTGACGTAAACTACGCTGCTAAGGTAAAACTATTATTTTATTATGTATATCATTCTATGCAAATTGATTCACCGAATGAAATAGATAAATACGTCTCTTTAAATAGTTGGAATTGATTTTACACCCTAATGTATCTCAAATTGAACCTTAAAATTGTTTTAAAAAAATTCAATTTGTCAAAGTTAAATTTAAATGTAGTTAAAAATCGAACAGGAAAAAACAAATATCGATTCATAAAATTGCTAAATTTGAATCACAAAAGTAGTAAGATACTATTAATAATATTAATATTATACTATATGTTAAGCATTTTAATAAACTGAAATTTGCAACTTGATTAATATTTTTGTAAATTACAATTTTATGCATTTTTACTCTACATTGTGCCAATGTGAGATTTCGCATTTACTGAGAATAACTAATAAGCTCGATAAAAGTTCATAGCTGGAATCTGTATAAGCCTTCGTAAAGATGAGCAAAATTATGAATTTAATTTCATCGCAACGTTACGGTTACTGTAAAACTAAAATGTGCTTATTTTCATTGCATTTTAAGCTAATATTAAGGGTTTACTCATGAGATTTTAATTTAAAACTTAGTTAATTATGCTCAATGTTGATAATGCTACTGACTTTGAAGTCTTAAAGCGCATCTGTAATAACACTGTTTTAATAATTTTTTTAGCATCAAATTACACCTCTTCACGTTGCTTCCAAATGGGGTAAAATTAATATGGTTATGTTGCTTTTGGAAAAGGGTGCCAATATTGAAGCAGCTACTAGAGTAAGTTTTCTTAATACTTTTCATTCTTCTCACAAATTATCCATTTCATAAACTTTTCAACTGTTGTTTCTATGTTATTTATTTTTATTTTTTGGTCTTTGAAGTTTATTCTTCGGATTCTAATTTCATAGAATTAAAACTATACGTACGATTTGTTTACGCTACAAACCATGTTTATGAATTTTGAATCAAATTCAATTAATTCATGTTTGCTTTTGTGCATCACAATTAAGTTAAATAAATCATTTAGGTAATAAATAACACTAGGTAATAATATTGTTGTTCTCTGATGCATAGGATTTTTTTTAAACAGATCTTAGATACTTTTGCATCACTGATTGCAAACAAGTTTCTCTCTCCAAGCTACTATTTTTTTTTTGTTGAAATAACAATTTCAGTCCATTTTTTGTCGAAATGTAAAAGTTTGAAAACTTTATGTATAACATGGAACTTCATTAATGCTGCAACAAATTTCTGGGGGTGTACATAATCAAGATTAGAATTGCATTGGAACCCATGAACGGAAATGTCGTCATACGTCACTGCGGGCGCTTTCCCTGTTATGAATCGTCCTTTGTGCAGTTCTAAACAAATCATAACAGAGAAGCTCCACCAGCCATCTAGAACGAAATTGTCGTGCATGTGTGCCTATATGGTTATTTTCCTGCTTATGTGTCCTAACTTCCCGAGAAGTTTGTCATAACATTTACAGAACTCTATGTTATATATAACGTTTTTAAACTTGTATATTTCGACAGAAAATAGACTAAAATGTAATTTTAAAAATCTGCAGCTTTAGAAACAACACTAATTTCAGATTTGAAATCTTTATTCTCGAATTAGACAAGATCAAGTACATGTATAGATGCAACAAAAAATATATCCCCTATTAATATTTATCTACTATCTAAACAATTAAGTAAAGCCAATATAATTTCAAATTTAATAAACGAACATAACGTATAAAATGTTGTATCTTCATCAATTCATTGGCTTCATTAATTGAAGTTTATTTTCGCACATTAATTATTAATCGTCTTTATTGTTGAAATTCCATAAATACTTTAATATTTACATCATATAAAATTTAATATTACCATGATTATCTTCTAAACAAAAGAAAATCATGGCCTGCCTCAAACTACATTCTTGCAAACTCTCTTGAATTTCGCAGAAAATTTTATTTTTATGCATTCATAATGTGGTTCCAAATTTCTACATAGTTGGTTCTTCATTTGACAAATAAAATTTACATTGATTTTGACTACCACTACATTTAAATAGTTTAAATATGCTGATAGCGGGCCTTCTAGTTATCTAATGAGGTTGAAAGTGTTGGCTAAACGTTAAATGTATGCCTGCAATTACATTGTTTTTCGAAGCTGTTTCGCCAAAATAAATAAATAAAGCCATAGTTGAAATACAATATATTCAAAGATATATAACTTTAAACTATCTATGCCATCATGCCATGAAGAATTATAGATTTAAGAACAGACAAATAACTCATATAATTTAAAAGTTATTAAATTATTTTAAAAATCGCCAATTCGGCAATATTTTTCCATCCAAATTAAAATTATCAAAATCAATGCCTTACTCTCAGATTGTGCCAAATTTTTATGATCTCAGATAATGCAGCATTGGAGTAAGTTTGAATTTTTAAGAAAATTAGACTACAACCATTTAATTTTTTCGAAAATGTGGCTTTTTTAATGATGTTTTGTACCATTTTCAGAATAAAAGTAGAGAGCGCTAGCTAAAAATGGGCTAAACAGTCATGTATAACTGTTCAAGCTTGGAGAAGTTATGAAAATGGCATATTATTTGCAATAAAGCATTTAGTGCGACGACAAAGCTTTCGAAAAACAGCCTTAACTACCACAAAAATAAAACTTTTTTGATGAAAGTGAAAGTTGACAGGTTGACAGATATAATGCGTTTAGTGTTTATGAAACTACTGTTTTTCTAAACTATTCCTTGAATGTTCTTATTTTTAGGATGGTTTAACTCCCTTGCATTGTGCTGCTAGAAGTGGTCACGATCAAGTTGTTGATCTACTTTTAGAAAAAGGTGCTCCATTCTTGGCTAAAACAAAGGTATTTCAATATTTTATTTTCATATTTATGAAATTTTAATCCTGTCTTAAAAATTAGCTTGAGTTATTTTTATTTTCATTTTTATATTGTATTTCTAATTTAAGTTTTAAATTGCGATACAAATTTCAAATAATTTTATGTCCATAAGCTTTTAATACAGTGATATTAAGTTTTTATAATCTGTTATGCTTTGCGTCTTTACAGAATGGACTTGCCCCTCTTCATATGGCATCTCAAGGAGACCATGTCGACAGCGCTCGCATTTTGTTGTATCATAAAGCACCAGTTGATGATGTCACTGTCGTAAGTTTACAATTTACAATTGCTTACATTATTTTAGTTTTATTCAAATACTTAATGTGTTTTTTAATACCTAAGCCTGTTCATTTAGAGGATTGAAGTTATTTACATTTTACCTAGCATAATTAAATTAAAAAATAAAATAAATAACAATTCGAGGAAGAACATATTGCAATATACTTTATAAAAAGTTAATTTTTTTATTTGTTGACAGACGTAGGTTATTTAGAAATTTTTAAATTTTTTTAAGCTTTTGCAATTTGTGTATTGTAATTAAAGCGATTTCAAAAATAACGGCACAATTACCCTTAATGATGTCATCTTTTTCTGACAAAAATGATCTTTTCTACTTTAGATAGTTAACCATAACACTGTTTGATTTCATTGCTGAAACCGTTATTTCCTTTTCTTTTATTTAGCATGGCGTAGCCGAATGTAGATTTCGCGCCATTGACTCTACATTTCATTTCCCCTAGTACACAATTTATAAACATGCTTAATCTACATTGAGTTGCTTACTTTCTGACATCGATTGATGCGATGAATTTTGAAACAGCTTAGAAAACGAGCATGTCTGTGGCCAAGATTCGGATAAAATAATCTCCGCAGACTACTTTTTGATTGAAATTAATCCACATTTGAGTTGCATGACCAGAAAAATATCAAGAGAGCTTTAACTAAGATCAGTGTACCAATTGGATGCATTTTATGCTAGCAATGTCAAAGGCATTAAACAAACCAAAAAGTAACGTTTCTGGGTTTTATCTTTACAACTAACTTCGGCAACGTGTACAAGGATGTAGGAAAAAAAATTGGGCATTTAAATAAGCTTTTCCTAAAGATCATTATGAAGAAATTAACACACGACTGTGTGTTGACAATAAACTGAGAAATGTTTCGTGTACTTATTATTTTTATTATTAGATATTGTGTGAACCAGTTTAAAAAATGTGGTTAACTCAATATCGGCAAGAACAATTTGTCTATAATATTTACAAACATATATGCAAATATAATTCAAAATTTTAAACACGCATTTTTTAATGAGTACTTTATTTCCCTTTTCTTCATTGAAATACTCCGATAACAATAGTTAAGTTATGAAAGGTTTAAATCAAGAAGAACTCAGAAATATTTAAGAAGAAACATAATATTAAAAAGAAAATTAGTTGTCTTTTACACAGATCATGTTTTTTATTGTAGTTTTCAATTCTCAGTCACATTAGGAAATAAAATACAAAGCTATTTTGCAACGCCTTCCAACTTTCATAGTGTTTAATTTTTTTTTAATCTCACTGATTTGCAATATTACACATCGAAGATAAAAATATAGTTAGTCTTAAAGTTCTACAAATGTAATACGAGTACGTTATAATACTAGTGCATTGTTAACATTTTTTCATTCATATTTTCGAATTTCGTATTGTTTTGTTATATCTTTTTCTCGTTCTTAATATTTCATGTTTATTTTTTACTCCTAGGATTATTTAACAGCACTTCATGTCGCCGCACATTGTGGCCACGTTAAAGTGGCCAAGCTTTTACTGGACAGGAAAGCTGATCCTAATGCCAGAGCCTTAAACGGTTTTACTCCCCTTCACATTGCATGTAAAAAGAATAGAATAAAAGTTGTAGAACTTTTATTGAAACATGGAGCTTCTATTGAAGCTACCACTGAAGTAAGCACTTTTTGTATTTTTACCTTTCGTTTTTGTCTAAAGTTTAATCTTGCATAATTTATAAACATTCTAACGTTGTAGCTTCTTTAGATATATTTATATCATATATCTATCGAATTATTTAAAAATAACTGAAATGTATATCGTTTGAAATATATATGACGAAACTAAAAATCCCAATCTTTACAAACAGCTGACGTATTTTTGTTGACAATTAGGCTAACAAATGACGTCAGCAGTTAGAAAAGAGCCGGATTTTCCATTTAGCCTACGATATACACAACATTCGCAACATATTTATTATTTGAAATGTGTATAACGTTTGAAAAAATGTATACCGTTTCAATACGTATAACATTTGAAATATGCATAACGTTTGAAATATGCATAACATTTGAAATATGCATAACTTTGAAATATGCATAACTTTGAAATATGCATAACTTTGAAATATGCATAACGTTTGAAATATGTATAACGTTTGAAATATGTATAACGTTTGAAATATGTAACATTTGAAATATGTAACATTTGAAATATTTATAACGTTTGAAATATTTATAATGATTGAAATATTTATAATGATTGAAATATTTATAATGATTGAAATATTCAAAACGATTGAAATGTAGATAATTTGGAATGCAAGTTTTGATTGGAATATTCTTATTGAAACAAGATTAATATTTTTGCAAGATTAATATTTTTACAAGATTAATATTTTTACAAGATTAATATTTCTACAAGATTAATATTTCTACAAGATTAATATTTTTACAAGATTAATATTTTTACAAGATTAATATTTTGACAAGATTAATATTTTTTTAAGAAAAGATTAATATCTTTGTATGGCAAGATTATTTTTAAAAAAAGAATATCTGTTTCAAATGAATTCGCTGTAAATTAATATAATTTTTCAATAAAGTAGAACAACAGCATGAAACCGCAAATAATGTTGTTCGCAGAGCTAGAAGATCGGAGCGGTATTGCTAACAAATGTGATTTATCTGTTGTTGTTTACACAACGTATATTGTATATGATTTGTGTGTTCCAGTCTGGGCTTACACCACTCCATGTTGCATCATTCATGGGTTGCATGAATATAGTGATATATCTCATTCAGAATGGATCAAATCCTGATGTTCCCACAGTGAGGGGTGAAACTCCTCTGCATTTAGCAGCACGTGCCAATCAGACAGACATCATTAGAATTCTTTTAAGGAATGGTGCAAGTGTAGATGCAAGAGCGAGGGTGAGTATTGATCATATTCTCATAATAATCTAATAGGTTATATAATGTCACTATTCCAACATTATCGAAATGAATTACGCTGTATCACTATCGTCATTCAGATAAGAAATCGATACCATTAAAATGTTTCTTAAGAATAGTTTAAGCCTAAATATCCGAGTGGAGACGATTTTGGGAAATTTTTAGGCTTTAATATTTTAAAGTAATACTAACAAGGAGATTGGTATTCAACGTTATATATTTAATATTTTTAACAGCTGAAAAAAGCCGAAAGTTCTCCATAAAGAAATCTTCATAATAAATACTGAAAATTTCAAAATCTAGTCTTATTCTTATTTTGCTCATTATTAAAATTTTATGTAAGGTGTGCAAAAATTCCTTTTATAATTTTGATTTAAGATGAACTGTACAGAGTAACATTGATTTATACAGTGAAAGAAAGCTTAATTGCAAAATTTTTTTAAAATTTACTCTACCTTTTAATCTTTAATAGATTATTTGCTAATATATATACCTCAGTGCTTGAAGCGTTAAATAACACATTTCATAAATGCAAATGTAGAATTATTACAATGATAGGATAAAATCATCAGGGAATACTTTTATACAGGAAAGAGTTTTTGGAAACCTGTTTTATGTTTTAAATTAAGTCGAATTCTTTTTAATTATATTTTCATGACTGCATTTTTTTTAAATTTAAATTCTAGGAGGAGCAGACACCTTTACACATTGCTTCTCGACTCGGAAATGTAGACATTGTAAGCTTACTTTTACAACATGGTGCTGCAGTAGATGCTACAACTAAAGATATGTATACAGCATTGCACATTGCATCTAAAGAAGACCAGGAAGAAGTTGCATCTTCCTTACTAGACCATGGAGCTTCTCTCACTGCAACAACTAAGGTATTTTACGATCTTACTTTAGCGTAACTGCATGCCATTGTTATGCACAGTACCCAAAATAAAAAACGAACTACTTTAAATAACTTGTGATCCAATGATTGAATCTAGGACTCACATAAGGAATCGTTTCAGGACTCTATATTAAAGGTTCAAAGAGGTGAACTCAAATATTTTAATTAGTTAATGCAGACGATATTTTAAGTTCCGAAATCACACACAAAAGGGACTTTCTCTGAATAAGCATAACTTTTTTTTGGTTGGATTCCAATTTTTGATTTCCAAACTATAGGGGGTAGCAAAAATATGGAAAACATGGTTCCAATAGTGATCCAAAGTTTAGACCCCTTAATGTAAATTTTATTTTTTGCGTATTTCACCATTTCAAGAACTCAGTAAGTGAATTTAAAACTTTGTGCTAACAACTATAAAATTTGTTTATGCAAAAAGATGTTTCCATGCAAAATATAATTTACTGTAAATATTTATTATTTTTTATTTTATTTAATAATAATCAAACTTTTGAATAGAAAGGTACATAATTTTTAAAACATTTTAAGGAGTGTAAGTTTAAATGGCAAAATACAAAATTTTAATAGAATCTGTTAAATAGTTCCTGAGAAATTTTATTTTTAAAGTATGATTTCTCGGGAACTATTTGACCGATTTCGCACAAATTGTGTATTTTATCATTTAACATTGCATTCTTTAAGAAGATGCAAACATTCTATACCTTACAATTTAAAAGTCTTTTGACTATTATTAAATAAAATAAGTTAATATTTATTATTTTTTTTTATTAAAGTTAAATTTTGCATCGCATTATCTTTGAAAAAACGAAGTTTATTTTTGTGAGCACGAATTTTCAGCTCGCTTAAAAACTTCTAAATTTACAGAAAGTGAAATTGACATTAAGATGTCATTAAATTTATCAAAATCCAAAGGATTAAATGAGCAGGCCACATTATAAGAATGGAGGTTAGTAGGACAACCAAAAAAGTTTTCAGTGCCGGGCCAACAGGTATAAGAAAAAGAGGACGGCCTTTAGACTGCCTTGAAAAGGATCTACATGTTTTAAAAATAATAAACTGGAGAACCTTGGCTAAGGGAAGAATGTCTTGGCATAGGCTTGTTGAGGCCCATCCTGGGCTATCGTGCCAATGAGAAGAAGAAAATTGTCATTAAGGTGTCCTTACATCTCTCCTGTTTAAACTCTTGGGACCATTTTCCTAGATTAGGGCTACCCCCTATATTTTGGAGGTCAGAAATCAAAATCCGTTGAAAAAGGATATGTTTGTTCAGATAAAGTGTGTTTCTTTGTCTGATTTCGTAACTTAAATATTATCTTCACTAAAATAAGTAGCCTGTTTGAAGTCACCCCTTGAACCATTAAGATTGTGTTCTGAAACGTGAAGATCCGATCATTGGATCAAAAGTAATTCAGGGTCTGTATACTGTATTACTAAACACTATAATGGAATTTTGTTTGATTATTTTAGAAAGGATTTACACCGCTTCACTTGGCAGCTAAATATGGAAACATCAAAGTTGCTCGATTATTGCTTCAAAAAGGTGCAGCTGTTGATGCCCAAGGAAAGGTACGATAATCAAATTATTTTGATCTAAAAGTTTTTTTTTATATAAATTTTGATTTGAAATTTTATTTTTACTAAGAAATAGATTTGATTGCAAAAATATGAAATTTAATATCAATTATTAGTGAGCTAAACTGTAATGTTTTGATACAATGTATGAATCACTTTAATTCAATCATCAAATCAATGTATGAATCATTAAATCAATGTATGAATCACTTTAATTAATAAAAGGAATCTTCTAAAGATATGATATATTTTTTGTTATGTTATTGTGCATCAATGTTTTGTTTTCTTACTACAAGATACATTTATGATAAATTTTACACTTTCAGGAACCTGACTGAATTTAATTAGGAATCAGATATAATTTAATTTACTAATAATAAATAATTAATTTAATAATATCAAAATCAATATTTTATTGGACTAAAAATAAAATATTTGTTTTTTATCCTACATTTTGTATTTCATTGTACATACAGAAGCAGTTAGTAAATAAATTTAATTCCAAACGTAAATAGAAACTAACTTGTTTAATTAAAATTATGGTCTACAAATGATTAAGGTAACTTCTAAATTGTCACTTAGTAAATGAAAAAATTACAAATATTTTTTTCATTAACATTTATTTATTTTAAGTTGTTAATGTTAAGTTGCTGTTATGTTAAGTTGTTATGTTAAGATGTTGTTTTTTAGTTAAGTTGTTTTGAATGATAATTATACATTTTTGGTTTTTGAGTAAATGAAAGAGCTAATTGGAGTGTTTCTCATAATATTATTACAAAATATTTCTAGTGCAAGTGATTTCTACTAAATCTTTAAAAACAGTAGTACCTGCTAAAATCTTAAAAGAAACAAGATTTGAAGTATTTGACTTGTGGAAATATTTATTAGATAGTTTGAAAATAAAATATATAATAATATATAAATAAAATATATAATAATATATAAATAAAATATATAATATATAAATAAAATACATATAATATATAAATTAAATATAGATAATATATAAATAAGTAATATAATATAGATATAGCATAGTGAGGTGAGATATTCATATACTTAATCATTTTTCTATCTATATTCTGCATGGTCTTTTTTGATAATTAACGATCTCCTTTGCAATAATTATAGCTTTTAAAAAAAGAAATAAAAAGTGAAATTATTTTTTTTATTTTTTTCTTAGTTTTTTTTTAAATCTAAAAAAGTTATAAGCTTTTAAATCATGACAGGAAATTTAATGACAGTCTACTAGAAATGCTTAATAAAATGTTTTGAGGACATCCAAGACCAATTATTATATTTTTGCCATTATATTTTGATATTTGAACAACTTTAATAACCAACCACGCTTAAATACCTAAATCCATGGCATGTGAAGAAAGGACTCGGAAGTGAAATAAAAAAATTCTGTCATAAAATGTCGGATTTGCATTTCAAAACAGTTTAAATACATTAAAAAACATGTATTTATGATTCCAAAAAAAGATAATAACTAAAATATGCGTGACATATATTTTCAGAAAAGTTTCTGACACAATTTGGTTAAATTTGCTATTGGTTATTATATGCTTTAGCAATATTTTAAAAGTTTTACAGTTATTTCAGAAACGTTAAGTAAAGGTTTTTATGAACGTTAAGAAATTGCAGAAGTTTATATGTTCTAACTAAAAGGTTTACTGAGTACTTTTAGAAAACTTATGTATAAGAACATAATTAGATTTATTTCTGTTCGATATATCCCTGTTTTAACTCTTACAAAGCTTTTAGCGGTATGGCGGTACTGTAACCAGCTACCAGATATTTTTATATATTTAATTATGAACATTTAAAAAGGTCAGATGAAAAAAAATACTTTTAACACGTTGAATGATACGCTAACTTTACATGGCCTGCCCGTCTAGCCAAAATGAGTTTTTTAGCATGTATAGCATTAATTTCTTCAAACCATCTTGGAAACGATAATAATAGTAAAAAAAATCAAAAGCATTAAAAATTTACTCTTGGTTTTGCCTGACACCGGTGACCCCCGTGGCGCTACGAACAAACTCATTGCCGATCACCCCCCATGGCAACCAACGTGTTAAGGTTTCAAAATGTATAAAAACATAAAAATGAGATCTCTATTTAGTCTCTGCAATACTGATGTTTCTGTATATTTAATACCCCATTCGAATCTAATTTCTCAAATTCAGAGCATTTTCTTCGAATGTTATAAGATTTCTATTTTAATGTTTCAGAATGGTGTTACCCCTCTTCATGTGGCTTCTCATTACGATCATGTTAATGTTGCACTGCTTTTGCTGGAGAAAGGTGCTTCACCCCATGCGATGGCCAAAAATGGTTACACCCCTCTACACATAGCAGCCAAGAAGAATCAAATGGATATTGCTAGCACTTTGTTAGAGTATGGTGCTAATGCAAATGCTGAGTCTAAGGTAACTCATTATTTTATTACGCAGAATGTTTCGTAATTACTAACCTCAAAATATATTTTTAAAATGTTTTTCAAAATGAAACAATTAGAACCTGAACATTAGGAACCAAAAATCAGCATCAAATTAAAATAGTCGTTATTTTATTCTGGCGAATTATTATTGATGTTAATCACTGTAAAAATTATCTAAACAAATATAATTATAATAATGTTAGAATATTTTTAAATATTTTTCAAAAAGGAGCAATTAGAACCTTAACATTAGGAAGCCTAAATTAGTATTTAATTAAAACAATCGCTATTTGACACTGGTAAATTATATTACTCGTGTTAATAGCTGTAAAAATCACCGAAATAAGTATAATTATATCAAAATAATAAAGTATTTATAAAATATTTAAAAAAAAAAGGAATTAGAACCATAATATTAGAAATCCTAAATCATTATTAAATTGAAATAATCTTTATTTAAATCTGGCTAATTTTTACTTAGGTTATTCACAGTAAAAATCCCCAAAATAAGTATAATTATAATAAAATAAGAATAGTTTTAAATTTTATTGTAAGGGGAAAAATTAAAACCCAAACTTTTGAAATCTCAAATCAATATTAAGTTTAAATAATCGTTATTTAACTCTGATGAATTATTACTAAGGTTAATCACCATAAAAATCATCAAAATAAGTTTTATTGCTGTATGATATTTAAAGTTATTCATAATTGTTGTAACTTGTAGAAATTGTATGAAAGTAATTATGTATGAAATAAGTGACTGTTTAAAAAACGCATTGAAAGGAAATGAAAATATTTTAATTATTTCAATAAAGTGCACTTTTTTAAAATAATCATCCAGAGCTGTAAAAATGGAAGAATTATAACTTGTTAGGTGCCTAAAACGTTAAGGCTTGTTTCTTTTATTAATTTACTTACTTTAATGTTATTGCTTGTTATTTATTGCATTTTCTGGATGTTTTATTTTTGTTATTCTGAGTAAATTGTCGAAATGAACATTTTTGTTGTGTTAACAGTTTTTGTTGTATTTTGTTAAATCGAAATAAAATTTATTTATAGGCTGGTTTCACACCCCTTCATCTTGCTTCTCAAGAAGGACATGCCGATATATCATCATTACTTATTGATCACAAAGCTAAAGTCAATCATAAAGCTAATGTAAGTTCGCATTTTATATCTTGCATAGATGCTTAATCATGCAATATCATGAATATATATCTAAATCACAACCAAGATATAGATTAATTATTAATTGAATAGATTTATAAATTAAATATAGATTATTACCATCAGCATTTAAACACTATTAATGGGTCAAATTATTTCTTACCTATAGATAAAAAAAAATACTTCTCCTCATATATTAAAAATTTTTTGATATTAATCTGATTTTTAAATGCGAACTCAAAATTTGCCACACTGAATGTTATGGGATCACCGGTGACCGGCACTGAGTTTGTTCGTAGCGTCACGTGGTCACCGGTGACCGGTGAAACAAAGATTATTAGAAATACATAAATCGAGCAAATTTTTTATTTTTTTTATATTATCGTTACTAAAATGGTTTGAAGAAATTAATGCAAAATAGAAAGCACAAAAATAGTTTTATACACACAGAGGTGCCAACTTGCTCCTGACAGCGAATAAATTTTTTCAAGTGGTAGTTTATTAATTGTGATTCTTGGTTTAATAAATTAAATTTAGTGGATTTTTATCCACCACTATTTCTTAACAATTCGTAGGCTTATATAATTCACCACTTTTTTCAGATATGCCATGCTAAACTTTTTAAAAAGCTGGCAAAATCTATTCAATGTTTGCAAATTTAGTTTGTAGTTATTTACCATTTAGCCAGACGGACAAGCCGTGTAAAATTAGCGTGGCATTCAACGTGTTAAACGAAATCCGTCGAATATTCCTTGTATTCAATAGCATGAATTTGAAAGAAAAATTCGTAATAAATTTTTAAAAAAATTCAAATATAAATAACTGTTGTAGAAAATTTTATGCCATATGTTGTGCACTGATTATATAATGTTTTGTTTCAGAATGGACTGACACCTCTACATTTATGCGCACAAGACGACAAAGTGAATGTAGCAACTATTCTTGTAGATAGAGGCGCTGAAATAGGACCACAAACCAAAGCTGGTTATACACCTCTACACGTGGCTTCTCATTTCGGTCAAATAAATATGGTTAGATTCCTAATTCAAAATAAAGCTGATATTCATACGACCACATCGGTATGAATACTTTGTTTACTCATTTTTCTCAATTATAAATAGTTTGTTCATGTTCATTGTTGGCTACTGGTTTGAAGGGTTTGGGGCAAATACACTGAAGAGTCAAAAAAACTGGTATACCTGCCTAATATCGTGTAGGGTACCCGCGAGCAGGCAGAAGTGCCGCAACACGACATGGCATAGATTCGATCAATGTGTGAAGCAGTGCTGGAGATAATTGACACCATGAATCATGCAGGGCTGTCCATAAACCAGTGGGAGTAAGAGGGGATATCTTCTGAACATCACGTTGCAAAGCATCCGAAATATGTTCAATAATGTTCATGTCTGGGGATTTTGGTGGCCAGAGGAAGTGTCTAAATTCAGAAGAGTGCTCTTGGATCCACTCTGTAGCGATTCTGGACGTGTGGGATGTCGCATTGTCCTGCTGAAATTGCCCAAGCCCGTCGGAATGCGCAAGATTCTTACGTACTCGTCACCTGTCAGATTCTTATCTAGACGTATCAGGGGTCCCATATCACGCCAACTGTACACACCCCATACTATCACAGAGCCTCCATCAGCTTGAACAGTCCCTTGTTGACATGTAGGGTTCATGGATTCATGAGGTTGTCTCCATACCCGTACACGTTCATCAGCTCGATACAACTGGAAACGAGACACGTCAGACCAGGCAACGTTTTTCCAATAGTCAACAGTCCAGTGTCGGTGTTGACTTGCCCAGGCAAGGCGCAAAGCTTTGTGTCGTGAAGTCAACAAGGGTACACATGTGGGCCTTCGGCTCCGAAGGCCCATATCAATGATGTTTCGTTGAATGGTTCGCACGCTGACGCTTGTTGATGGCCCAGCATTGAAATCTGCTGCAATTTGTGGAAGGGTTGCACGTCTGTCACGTTTAATGATTCTCGTCAATCGTCGTTGATCCCGTTCTTGCATGTCCTTTTTCTGACCGCAGCGATGTCGTAGATTTGATATTTTACCGGATTTCCGATACTAATGGTATACTCGTGAAATGGTCGTACGTGAAAATCCAAATGTCATTGCTATCTTGGAGATGCTATGTCCCATCTCTCGTGCGCCGATTATAACACCACGTTCAAACTCACTTAAATCTGTATAACCTGGCATTGTAGCAGCAGTAACCGATCTAAGAACTGTGCTAGACACTCGTTGTCTTATATACGCGTTGCCGATCGCAGCACTGTACTTTGATAGGCTCCATACCCCTTTATTTGCATACTCATGCCTGTACCAGTTTTTTTTGGCTCTTCAGTGTATAATTATAGCCCCACGAATTCCAAAAGTTAAATTTTCACATGAATTGCTTTTTTTTGCACTCTTTCCAGTTAGGTATTTTACAAAGTTTACTAGATAATAAAACCATTTTATTGCCTAAATAGAAATCTTTTTTTTAAATTTGCTGCTAAAGGTCAAAGTATCTTAAAAATTCTTCTTCTGCTGAATAATTTTGGAATATATTACTATATTGCTTGAATCTTTTCATTTCATATGACAAGAAACATTCTCAATATTTTTCTGATTTTGGTTCAAATTATAATTATTTAAAATTAATAAAGTGCAGTGTAATGTCCACTCGGAATATTAATAATTAGAATCTTAACCAAAAGGAAATATAAAAGTATACATTGGAAGTCGCTAACTACTATTTAAGCAACGAAAAAAAAAAAAACCAAAACACTATCAAAATCACTATTTTGTGCAAACCATTAAAACTATTTAACCGCAGGTTAAAATTCAAATGGGTTTCAAATAATTTTCGTTTAACTCCTCTTGGTTTCCTCCAATAACCTAACAAGCTTCATGCACCTGTTTCGCTTACCTGTAATACGTTGAGTTTTGATTGCGTCTTCATTATTTCTTCCTGTCTGAATTAGATTTTTGGGACTCCAAAATGCATAATTTTTGCTTTTATTTTCTATAAGTTTTCTAAAAATCTATATCAAGGGCAGTCTTTACAGAACACCCTGCATACTTTAAATAATAGATATGTTAAGCGAAAAGCGATCTTAATCAATGTGAGCAAGTTTTAAAACAAATTCAGTGTTTTGAATACTGCCTTTTTTAGTTAGCCTATTTTTTTCTGCATCAAATCAAACCAATAAAATTCACTCCTTGATAGCTTTTGGGTCAAAAAATCAGGTTTTTAGAGTACGAAAGAGTGAAAATAATTTGCCGCCCATTTGTAAAAGTAAATTAGGTTTACTCCTTTAACGTTTTGAATCGAATTAGTTAAAAAAGAAATGTTTAATTATTCGAAATTGAAATTCATGTTTTTTTTAAAATTAAAATAAGTGTGGCTGCTAACGGAGATATTTTAATTGTTTGTTGCATTTTCTGGTAGCTCTTCAATTTTAAATTAATTTAAATAAGTTATTAGAAGTTCAACTCACAAAATTGAAGTTTGAACACACTTCGAAACATTTGGTGTCATAAACTGATCGCCTCATTTCATCATAGTCAAACTGTACCAGAGTTGAGTGATTTCCCAATAAATTTTCACTTTAGTAGTTTAATAATTTTTATTTCAATTACTGTTTATTTTTCATTTTCTTATGTATAAGCGCATTTTAAAAGTATAACTATAAAGCAGTATAGTTATAATTTGAATAAAAGACAACTAAAATCTAGATAGTTTGCAAACTATTAAACCAGTGACATCACTCTTTCCTGTGTCATTTTTTTAACTTCAATTTGTCTTATATATTAAATAAAAAATATTAAAAAGCTTACAGTAAACTCCTATGGTAACTCAATTTTAATAAAGCATTTGTAAATTAGAAAGCAGCACTGTTGTTCTCTTTTAAAATATTTAAAAAAAATAACATTAACGTCTATAGTTAAGCTTGAACAAAGCGTAAAAATATTATGTATTTGTTTTTCCCACGCCCTTTCCGAGCTGACAAATTGAAATTTTTGCAATGTTTCTAGAATTGAAATTATACCCCTATTAATATTATTATGGGACTGAAGTTATACCTTGCATAAGCTGTACAAATTTCATGACCGTATCACAAACGGTACTGGAGTTATGAAATAAAGACCGGCAAACATTTTCTCCTAATATTATTATAGATAAGATTAAATCCCGTTTTCTTACATACTATCATATATGAGCATTAAAATTTCTTTAATTTTATGAATTCCTTGTTCTAAATTCTTGTTATATACTATAATTATTACATTTATTTGTTTTTAGCATGGATATACAGCTCTCCACCAAGCTGCTCAACAAGGCCACACGCTAGTTGTCAATCACCTGCTTGAAAATCAAGCTTCGCCAAATGTTACAACAACGGTAATCACTTCATTTCTCGCTTTTATTAATTACTCTTCCTACCGAAACATGATGACGCGAAGGCTTACAAACTTTTACCACTTACTATGATGAAGGTACTAGACAGCGTGATTGAACATTTATTCAATGTCCGGAGTTTAGTAATCTTAAGCTATCTTAATTGTACCAATTGTAATTTTCTTAATTTGATTTTAACTTAGCTGAATTTAAATTGGTGATGATACGTGAAAACGCTATTTGACAGAAAATTGGAGAAAATTACAGAAGTCTCCGGCTATTGAAAGTGACATTTAATCACTGCTCTCCCCCCATGGTTAAAAAAAATTAAAAGTGCATTTTGTGTCTAATTTCGCAACTAAAGATATCATATATAGTGATAAATTAGAAAATTCATCATTTTTGCACTCTAGACAAGTTCTTTAGGACAACTTTTTAAATTAAATTAATAGTAAGTAACAAAAATATTGTTGATTGCTCCATAAATAATCTTTAAAAAAGAATAAAATATTTGTCTAAAAAATTTATCTTAATTTGGTTGAGTTTTATTTAAAATGTCATCGTTTACTTAAAGATCAGGAAAAAAATTTCGCTCTAGAATGGGATTACGGCTAGATTTTAACCATGAATCTAAAAAAAAAAATCTAATCAAAAATATTTTTTCTCTCTATTAAATAAAATTCTCATGTCTTTCTGGGAAATCATGATAATGTTTTTTTCCTGGGGACTTAAAACAATATGATTAATAACAAAAATACGACAGAAATGTATTTAGTTTTTTCTTAACAAAGCAAAACATATTGCTATATAGTTTACTTGGACTTGACTAGAAATTTATTACATGAAATATACGTTATATAAGACATTTTGAAAAATCGCTTTTGTTAGATATTTTTCGAATTCTTTTCTAAAGTATAAAACTAAAGGATCGTAAATTGATATTTGGTTGAGGTAAAAACCAAAACTATATATACAATCACGGAATCACTCTTGAGGAAAGCGGGTGTAAAAATATCAAAATCTGTGTGACAGTCTTTTAAAATTAGATACTTCAAAACTGCATCTCTCAACTAACTCCTTTCCATTTTCTCGCCTTATGAAGCAGATTTCGATGTTTATAATCTTGCTTTCAATTGATATACTTCAGATTTCGATGTTTATAATCCTGCCTTCAATTGATATACTTCGGATTTCAATGTTTATAATCCTACCTTCAATTGATATACCTCAGATCTCGATTGTTTCTGTCTTTTTATTTTTTTAAATATTAATTTATTATCTATAATGAATATATCTTCATTTTTGACTAGGCTGTACATTTATAACATGAAGGGAGGTCTCTGCTAAAAACCCTAAATATAATAATAAAAAATTTAATTTTCATTTGTTTTATTTTCTAAAATAATTAAATATTTTTCCAGCAAGGACAAACACCCTTATCTATCGCTCAGCGTCTTGGTTATATATCAGTTGTCGAAACTCTAAAGGTTGTTACCGAAACAACAGTGACTACAACAACCACAACTGTAACTGAAGAAAAGTACAAGGTTGTCGCACCAGAAACCATGCAGGAAACCTTTATGACCGACTCAGAAGACGAAGGAGGTAGATTATTACAATTAATATATTGCTGTTTTCAAGAGGAAATGGAAATTATATGAAATTATCTTGTGATTATATGAAATTATATGAAATTATCTATTTAATCATGTGATTTATTTTAATTTCTTAGCTCTAAGTAAGACAAGTTTCCTTCAATTTTTCTTTCAAAAAAATGCGCAACTGTCCCGTCTGTTATTATTTTAGAGAATGCATTTTTTTCAAAATTTCTGTATACGTATATTTGTTTTTCAAAAAATGTCTGAGTGTTTGCATGTAAAGTTTTTTATGTTTAAATGTGTAGTATTTGTATAACATTATAGGCTTTAGTGTATGGCACCCACAAGATAAAGATATTTTATAATTTGGGGCTTCCTAACATTTCTATAACTATTGTTAAGCTAAACGAGTGACTTTAATTAGTCGAATTAAATCGTACTTCAAGTTTGAACTATGTAGCAAACATGGGTTATTTAAATCTGCAACTCAATACAATCCATACAAATCATTTATCCAAATCGGATTAAACAAAATTGATTAACCTGATTTAATGAAATCAATTAATCCCATTCAAGATCCAAGTCATAAATTCGAATCATTGATTCAGAACCATTCTTTACTTCAACGTGTTTAAATTAATCTAAAGTATTCAAAAGACGACCAAATAATTTTAATTTGAAGCTTCGATATATCTATATCAACGTGTACTTTATACGCATCTGAAAAGTTTCGATATTTCTAGTGGTCGATGGGTCATAGGTTAAAATTCCCTTGCCATTAGGCTCTTTTCGTGGTTTTTCATCTTCATTCCCTGTCTTTCAAATTATTCGTTATTTAAATACAAAACTAAGCGAGTATGTCCAAATGTTTGATATAGGAGCTCCCAAATCTTGCCACGAAGTTGAATATTTTTATAATCATCGTTGAACAACCGACACAATTTTTGAATTTTCGAATACTAATGTTCTTCTACGTAACCTTGTAATTTTGAACCCAATCCAGGAGACAAGGGAAGTCCTGCATCAAGTATTGAGGGAAATTTACCTTCGCTGAGAACTTTTTGATGGAACGAATCGGCATTTGCGTAACATAGAGAAGATCACGAGAACCTCCTATCGTTAGCCTGACGGCAAGGGAACTCTAACCCATGATCCGTCTACCACTGAGGATATTTCACGTCAGCACTGTGGTTTGTGCAAGCCGGATGTGAAATTTTTATCAGCCAGCCATCGCTTGGATTCGAAACCGGTTCACCTAGTTGGAAGGCGAACGCTCTATCTCCTGAGCCATCGCGGCTAAGATGAATGTTATAATTTCAATAATTGATATGGATTAATTGTTCATCGCTGGTGATAAGAATTATTAAAGAAGGAACTACAATGGTCATTTACTGGCCGAACAAAATTTTTATGCTCTAAATGATTTTGAAAACTGAGATGCGAAATTTTTTTGTGTTTCTCTATCATTAGGAACAAAAGTTTAGTCGAAAGTCAGTTCAAGATAATGCTGAAAAATTACTTCTCTCAACGCAGGGTTGGCACATCTTACATTGAAATATTCGTCATTCGTTTTTTATCGAATAAAATAACATTTGATTTAAGTAGCTTAATGAGTACTTTTTGAAACTATGTTTCTTATTTTATTCAACTAAAGGATATAGTAGAAAAGAAAAACAAGTCTTCTTTGTAATTCGCTTTTAGAAAGTTTTTACATCTTCCAATTCGTTATCAATTCTTTGTGTTAATTTTAGGAAGTTATGAACCTCCAATTAAATTTTCACTTGGTATTCTTATAACTAATACAGTAGTGTATGCATAATTTTACTGTAGTATAATGATAAATTTGAAAGAAATTTTTTAGAGTAGTGATATGGAACTAGTGTTTAGTGCTGCTTTCGATTAATGCTGTTCTATTTGTTTTCCTGCTTAATGTTTGTAAAATATTGTGTTAGTGCTGCTCGCCGATTGCTGCCTTAAGAATAGTTCACTTAAAATATATTTTGTGCAGTGCTTTATGATTGTTTTTCTAAGTTATATTTGTGATCTGCATGTAAAATATTTTTTAATATGAAAGGAATCATTTTGATGGATTAAAAAGTTCAATATAAGTAACATGGAATCAAGCGGATTCTGAAACACTACGAAGATTCAAAAGATGGATCAGGCATACAATTAAATTTCATGCAGCATATATTCTAATAAATACTTAACTGGGGATAAACTTTCCAAATGTACTGATTTATGATAGTAAATTGAATGACCTTGACACAGGTGCTGACTTTGATGAAGCTGCCATATTTGGAAAACCAACGCATGCCACACATGTCTATCTCCCTTTTAAAGAGGGCTCATACTTTCAAATGAGTAAGTTGTAAAAGAATTTATTCAATGAGTTTGAAACGGAAATATATCATTAAACCTTAGGCCATGAAACCTTATGTATAACCTTTTGTATGCCATAAAACATTAGGCCATGAAACCTTATGTATAATCTTTTGTTTTCCATGAAACCTTAGTATGCAATAATACTTTATAGTTGCCTAGACATAATTGCTGAATTTGATAATTAACAGAGATTTATTGTATATGCTGCCCTGAATTAGAATTAATTTGCTTCTATGCTTGATTACTAATATACTAATTTGTTCTGTGAAAGTATAGTTACTAATTATAGCTTCAATCTTTAATGGAAAATTTATATTTAAAATTGTCCAACTAATTTAAATTACTAATGGTTATTAAAGCTTTTTCATTATAAATATTTGAAAAATCCTTACTATTTTAACCCTTTTGTTACGCAATCCGTTCAACTGAAGTCACACAAATGAACAATGCAACGCGCTACGAATTGTACACATTGCATGTAGGTAAACTGACGTCTGGATTTTCGTATTTAAGTTTTGCATAATATCTTTAGAGATTTTGCATCAAGCCTCATTAATAAAAAGGCAATTTAGTACAATTAAAAAATTTTAATAATTCGGAATGATACATTTTATTTTAAGTACCTATTTACAAACAAACTCACATTACAGTTTATACACTCACGCATAGATCTTGTATTTTTTTCCCCTTCGATTTTCCTTTTGTTTCGGTTTTTCCCTACTAGCCTATAAACTTGAAGGAAAATGCTTTTCTGACTTATAAAATATACTAAACCCATTAAAAACATGATTCTAATGGTATTAATATAATATAGATCAATACTGGAATATTAACCATTGCAGGAGCAGATTGTTAAACGGTTTACAGCTGACGCCAATTAAATACAGGGTTCATACACTTCGGGCACCGCGTGAGAGCCAGTTTAATACGGCTTTCATACACACAGAGCATCACGTGAATGCCATTTAAATGCGGTGTTCATGAACATTGAGCATCGTGTGAATGCCAGTTAAATACAGTGTTCATACACATGGAACATCGCATGAATACTAATTAAATACGGTGTTCATACACTTTAGGGCATCGCGTGAATGCCAGTTAAATACTGCTTTCATACACTTAGGGCATCGCGTGAATGCCAGTTAAATACTGCGTTTATACACTTAGGGTATCGCGTGAATGCCAGTTAAATACTGCGTTCATACACTTAGGGCATCGCGTCGCGTGAATGTCAGTTAAATATGGCGTTTATACGCAATGGGCATCGCGTGAATACTAGTTAAATACGTCTCTCGTAACGAAAAGGTTAAGGTAACTTTTTTGAATGTTTTAACCCTTTCACACAATGATACTTTGAAATAGCATACCAAAACTCATTTTTAATTTAATATTATTTTATTTAAACTAACTGATATAAAAACATTGGTTTTCCGTTTTAAAAAAAATCACTTTTTAAAGGTTGATTAATGATATGATCTAAGCAGAAGGACTTTTTTTAATAATACTGTTTTTGCACATCAACGAAAGAAAATTATTTAACTTTAAAGTGAAATTCATTAATAAATAAAGAATAGGAGAAGAATGTAAGGAAACTTTGAAAGATACTTTAAAGATTTTCGTTATTTTTGGTTCAAACAAATAGGAAGGTTTAAAAAAAAAATTTTTTTTTGAACACCATAAAAATTTACAGTTGTCAAATGATTAAAATACAATTTTGTTAAAAATCTGAATCTGAAGGTAGCTACATTTTCTTGAAAGTTAAAAAAAAAGAAATAATAATTTTCATAGACTTGATTTATTTTTGATACATTTTCAGAATCTTAAACAACGCTAATATTCTTCAATCATTAATAATTAATTGAGATATCAACATAAATATTTAAGAAATGCAATAAAACCATATCATTGCATTCTAAAATTTATAATATGTATGATCGCTCTTAGTATTATAAAGAAAGAAACTGCGGTGTAACATTAATAAATGTCTAGCATAACACATCCATTAACTAAACCTTGATTATAAATATTTTAAATAAAACATTTCAGTTCATGAATTAAGTAAAAAAAAAAAATTTTTGTTACAAATTAACCTGATTGATCTAGAGCGATTTTAAAAATTAATTGTATATGATTGATTCACTGTGAGCTTGCAGCTTCTGATGCTTTATTATACTAAGTTTTAAATTTCTTTTTTATTTACGCAATATTGCATTGTATTAAGTTTGCTGCATAGTGCATAGTATGAAATCAGCTTTTTTCTGTTCAAAATGCTTTGATTTCTATTGTTCCGCTTTTTTATCAACGTTAAGTAAATATATCTTATGAAAATAGGCGAAGAAGCAATGCTTGGCGATCAATCCTACCGCTATCTCACTGCTGATGAGATGAAATCTTTAGGAGACGATTCTTTACCCATAGATGTAACAAAAGATGAAAAACATCATGATGTTATGCATTCTGTTAAGCAATTTGGCGGTAAGAATACTTTCTATTATTTTATTGATGATACATTCTTGGTTAAAATATATCGAGTTTTCCTTAAGACTTTCAAATAGATTTTGCAATTTTAAAATTTATTTTCCTACACTTTTTTTAAAAAAAAACTTGCTTATATATATTTTAAGGTTTATAAAGCTTTTTTCTCGTGTTCAAAAATACTTGAAATTTGGTTGTCTTTGCAAGTAATGCAACTATTTTTTATTGCCAATTTTTTTTTGTATGTTAATTATTATCTTGTGCTTAATTTGAATGCATTTCAAATTAAAATTTTGCTGCTTAGTTTCATTTATAACAAAATTTGAATAAAAATTAATATTTTAATTTTTTTCTGTAAGAGTTGAGAAAAATAATATTTCACTTTAAAATTATTTCTATAAAAACAGAGCATTTTCACTTAATCATAGGTCTGGAAATTAATAGCATTAATATATCTTTTTATTAAAGTTTTATTTCGTAAAAATTATAGCCAATTTTCAAATTTTGATGTTTTTTTCGATTTATTGGCGTTTTCTTAAAAACTATTAACGTTTTTTTTTTGGAGCGATTCAAAATCAATTCTATAGATACTTCACATGATACTTGACAACTCGACTCGAAGCTTAACATGAGACTTTTGATAATCATTCTGTAAAAAAAAAAAAAAAAATAAGAAAAATAACGTTTTGGATTAAATGTTTAATCAGTAAAGGGTTTTAATTTTGAAAGTTCTTTTAAAATAATACATATAGTTTAATGTTTTCTAAGATGAGTGAGTCCCGCAATGGACTGATTGTAAGGACACGGTTCCCAGTAGAACACCGAAGTCAAGCATCACAGGCTATGGTCAATAAGCGGGTGGGTGACCACTTTGATCTGTCTGCATAGGGACCGAAGGTATCGTTCCTCGTTAAACTGTTCTGCCGTAAGATGGTAGATTTCGCGCGCAAATCGTCGGAATGCCAAAGTAGGGGAGTCATCCTTTATGCAGAGGGTCAAAATTACGATGGCATGTCTTTGGATCATCCTCAGGGATGCTTCCCAGACAGTCGTCAATAGCCCATTGTGCAGCTCTAGTGCGATGTGAATAAAATACCTCCCTACTTATCTAAGATGACTGAGTTTTACACGGTAAATGTTTTTTTTCAAGTATTTTGCAAAAAATAAAACGTTTATTAATTTAATACATTCAGTAAAACTTCACAATAATTTTTACTAAAAACAGTCATTAATCAGCTATTGTTCTATCTATAAATACTTTATTTTTGTATTACTCATGTATGTATAATTTTGTCCACACGCAGCACCTATGGTTGAAGAAGATAAACTGTCTCCTCAGCATGGCACACCAGTAGAAGGTGGATTTAGTGAGAAATTTTCCCCTGACAACATTGACCTGGGTCGAGTTCCAGTACACGCTGGGTAGGAAGTGGAAAATATTGCAAAATATATTAAAGTTTTTCATTTATTTATTACTTTGTTGCAAACTTTTAATGAGTTGAATTTTTTTTATAAAAAAAAATATATGTTCTTAAACATTTAAAAAATATAAATAGAATACATTTGATAACATTGGTAGACAAATTTTAATTTTGTTTACATACAAAAAATATTACTTTAATTGATATTTTGAGTAATATATTCTAAATTATAAACATAATAGGTCATCTCTTATATCAGTTACTTTTGATTAATGTTTTTAAATTTTTTAAAAAGTTTTTCCAGCATCCAACAATGTTTTAACTTTTCTTAGTGGAATTAATAACAAAATAAAAGCATTTGGAATTTAAAGTTAAAACTTTTATATTAGAAAACATTTCCTTTTTAACCATGCAGAAAATTTTATATAGCATTTGTTTGTTGAAATACTTTTAACATTTTTATTTAATAAATAAAAGAAGAAAACGCAAATACGAAAATCACTTTTCTCTTAGAGAGAACAGACAATAAGTGTTTAAACAATGGTGATATTTTCTCTTATATTTTATTGATACTTTATAACATTTCTTCCTTCTAATTTTTTCAAAATAATGTTGTCATTTTATATCCTGTTTTTTAATTTTACGTCAGCGGAAAAAAGTAACTTTAAATTGATTCAACCTCCAAAGAAAAGTAATAAGTAATTTCAAACTGTAAAAAAGGACTAGATCGATATGAAGTTAGCTTATACAGTTTGCTCTTATTCCTTTTTCTAAAATATTGATTAACTGAAGCTATAATTTGATTGAAACAGACGTTTTCCATTTTATAAAGTTGGAACAAATATATGCGGGTTATTCCATTATCATTTTCCACTAATATGAATTTTTACATTCCTTTTTTAAAACGAAATCATATATTAGAACTCATAAAATAACGTTTAAGTATGAGTAATCAAATCGTTGCCAAAATTAAATAAAAAAAGTGGGATTAAGAATCTCAACTAGTTTTATTGTTGGGAGAAACTGAGAGAAGAAATTGAATCCGATTATCAGAAACACTCTTAAATCTCATATGGCAATCAAACTGTTTTTGATGTTTTTAATCCCTCTGCTTCAATAATAATTCATCCAATTTTGATAATTTTTATTTTTTCTCAATTAAATATTAATAGGGAAAACTAAATATCTCTTTTCACTTCAGTTTTTCAGTCTTTAGAAGGATTCAAATACATATGTATTAATACATATGAATACTGTGCGTGTGTATATGTATGTTTATCATCCATGAATACTTAGACTTACTTTGTAAATGTGATTGTGGTACATAAATTATAGAAAGTTATTTCTTAATCTTTTATGTTATTTTTGTCAAATTATATTTTTGTTTTGATTATTTTGATGTCATACTTTTTTTTTAAACACATTATTGCTTAGCTTTTATTATTTTACTCCTAAAATTAAGCATGCAATATTTTGCAAAACATACATTATTTTTAGTCATACAACCTAATGTTCTGGCTTATATCATGTCATTATATTTTTATATTTTGTTAAAAATTTATTTTCGAAAAAAAACAGCGTTTATTTCCTAGCATGTGCAATACATAAATTTTATGCTTATTTTTTATTTATTGATTGTTTAGAAGATTTAGTTGGGCTGATGACTTCTATTCCCTTTTCCCCAAAGGCATGTCTCGAAGCAGGTTGGCTAATTTTATATTGTATATATGAAATATATCTGCATGCATTTTTAATGTAATTATTATTTGATAATCCTCATCGCTTTTGTAAAGTTTAATATTTATAAATTGCTTTAAATTTATGTGCAACCGTATTTTATGTGTCTTATAACTATATCGCAAATACTTTCAAGATTTCAGCTTTCGTTGAAATTATCTAAAAAATCTATTAAAAAAAAGTTTTAGAAAATTAATAAAACACTTTATTATTTTTTTTCTGCTACAATTGTGTTTATTTATAATATATATGAATCTTGTATTTGAACTTATTAGAATATAAGAGCCTAAATCTTTTTATTTAAAAAATATTTCAGTGTTATCATTCTTAATTTATGCCTCTAATTCTTTGCATATCTAATAACAAAACAGCTTGCTTTAGTAAGCATATTTTTTATCGATAAATATTGATAAATATAGATCATAAATAAATAGATATTGATAAATATAGATAAAAGATACAAAAGAAACTTTTTATGGTTACAGACTATATTTTTATTTTAAATCGATCTTTTTTAATTGTGTAAAGTTGTCGGAAAAAATATGGGAATTATATCTTGTGAGAGTCATCTACTGCCGAATAAAACGAGGTGCTAAATTAGAAATAAAAAAATATGGGTCTTTAAAATTATTTATATATTTTATTTACTGAAAAAAAAAATTCTTATCTGTTGATTTGAAACAATAATTTATTTCCAAAACAAAATAACGAAAAATATACCAAATTGAATCGATTTACTTATCAATTTGAAATTCAAAATCACTGATTTAAATCAAATTGAATTATTTATATTTAAATGATTCAGCTTTCTTGAATGTGTTGATTTGAAATATTGATTTCATTGATTCTAACTAGCAAAAAGATTTCAATCATTTTGAAGTTCAGTTTTCTTCAAAAAATGCTCAAACATTTCTGAATCTTTAGGCATTAGTCAATTAAATTGAAAAATTAATGTCAATAACTAAGGGCTTTTGAAACATCTTTATATGAATAGAATATTTAATATAGAATATTTAATTTAAAATTTAAATTGGTTTATCAATTGATTTCATTTGATTTCAGTGTAGAAAATAAATAATATTCAACAGTTGGTCTAGGGTGAGTCATATATGCGCTTAGTTACAAAGTGTATATTTGCAAAGTGTTTCAATACCTCTGCCCTTCATATATTTTTTCAAATTCAGTCAAAATTTAACACATATCGAGATGTAAGCTAAGCTATTAAAATAGAAAAACTTTATCGAATCTTATTAAATCATTAACAAAAAAGACTTGGTGAAAATCATCAAAAACTATTTTTATTGCCCTGGAGAAATTGAATTATGATTCTTGCATAACTTTTTTCTTTGTTTCAGTGTCGTGAATTCAGTCTCTTCTTCAATGATTCAAAAAATTTCGATAATTTTTTTTTCTTCGTGTATTCATTCTGTGTAATTTTATAACTTTAGTTTTGACAATTAATTTAAAAACTAACATTATGCGCGGTGATAACGAAACACCCTATACATTCTGCGGTTTAAATACATGTCATAACAAAATTTTGAACTACTATACATTGCTACAGATAAATTTATTTTAAATATATATCCTACTATTATGAAATTAATATAGTGCTATGGAGCCTCAATTCTTTTGAAACTAAATAATCTGAGGGAATATACATTTATTTCACGAAATTTACTTCTCGCAGTTTAATAACGACTACAAGTTTCAAAGAATGAGATGAAGCAAAACTTAATGTTCTGTGCTACTAATTCTGTAATATTACTAATTGCATTTGTATTTATTTATTTTCATGTTAACATGATACTCAATGTTGCATATTTTTATAATCAAACTAACCTTGTGATTGCTTGTTCTTTTTTTCACTAATCTTGTTTTCCCTTTTACTTGCATGGACAAAATACAGCAGACTTAAATGGAAAACGTAAGTTGTTCTTTATGAGTGTATACTAGTTTTCTTTAATTTTAAAAGTAGAATCAGAATTATTATATTTCTGTATTACTTTTTCTGTCAATTTTCTAATTAATAGTTTTTGTTAGTTTTAGGTCAATAGCTAGTAAAATGTGTTTACAATATTGTGTTTTTGTTTAGTACTCTTCATAATTATTTTCTTACCTTTCAAACTATAGATTTTTGTTTCACAACTTTATGTTTACTTATAAAGAATGTGCATTTGTAAATGTTCTCAGTGTTTGAGAAGAGGAACTAAGATGAGCACTTTTAATTTCAAAATTTTAATAGAGTTCAAACTTGTAGGCATTGTAATATTTCGTATACAAGTATTAATAAGTTCAAGCTTTCAAGATAAAAGTAGTCAATCCAGCAAGTCATTAACTGCCGTTAATTTTACTGTGTTTATGTTTTATAATTTTTTTGAAATTATAAAATAAATTGTTTTATTACCATATGGTTTATTTTAAACTATTTTGTGTAATTCAAAACATTCTTACACTTATACTAAGAAAATATAGAAAAATTCAGAATTTGAGAATTTCTGAAAAAAAAGTTGTTAAAATCAGTGACCTTAAAGTCTAATTAAATTTTATGGCTACAGCAAATTACAATTTTGTAGACTTATTATTCTGCAACATTGAAAAAAACATTAGGAAAACTGTGTAGTTGTCAAATTTTTATTACTATTTGCTCTCCAAGTATGATTTTTACTATTTTTTAATGTAAAACTTTGTGTGTTAAAAGGTTTTTCTAAAAAAAGCAATTTCACTTTAATTTTTCTTAAGAAAACACTAATTTTAAATTAGTTTTCTAGTATTAGTAACGTTTTGATGCCCAGGAAAAGTGTATAAAAAAGTTATTCTGTTAGTCATGTTTTACCTATGACTTTGAGAAATGTTTCACGTATAGTGAGTGGTTGTTTTGTTCTAGTTTACATTTTCCTTTCATTAGTATAAATAAATACATCAAGCATTTTCATTATCAATGAATATGCAAGTTTATCATTCAAACATTTTAATTATTTATACCCGGTGAAATATAATTTACTAACATTCAATTAATTATTGGTGTCTTAAGAGTTTAAAAAAATAAGATAAAACATGAGCAAGATAAATCATTCTTTGAAAACTAATATTTAAAGATTAGAAAATACTGCACATTTTAAATTCAGATTATCGCTCTTAAATATTTAATACACTTCTACAAAATATTTGGTGTTATGAGTACAATGCGATACAACTCCGATAATTCAAAACCTCAATCAATCACGCATTTATAAAGCCTATCCATTAACGAAGAAACTAAATAAACTTAAAGAAAAAAAAGTTGCCGTGAACCTCAATGCCACCAAATCATAACGACACTTAAAATTTTTCATTGCATCCTACTTTTCATTGAACGTTAATGAAATTTGCATCTCGTTTTTTATATTGTATAGAAGTGATAAAAACTTGATATTTTGAGTTTAGCTTTTCTATATAAACTAAATCAACCATAGATGTAGTATTTTCCGATGCTTTTGATATTTTATTGATGTTTTTAACACAATATTTTTTCAATGTTATTTTAACTGTCTTCAGCGAAACAATATTACATTGTAAGTATTTGTGGATAGGTTTTTAGTCAGTTTTATGGTGGATGCCCGGGGTGGTGCTATGCGAGGATGTCGCCATTCTGGAGTAAGAGTCATCATACCTCCACGAAAAGCCTCCATGCCTATGAGAATTACATGCCGTTATCTACGGAAAGAAAAACTCATCCACCCTCCACCTCTTATGGAAGGAGAAGCCTGCGCCTCTCGAATACTTGAAATGGGACCTGTCGGGGCTAGATTTCTCGGGTAATTATTCTGAATTTTATTCGTTTTGCTAGCGAATCTATGATAATGTGTGACGAGTATTTTGCGTTTACATGTAAAAATGGTCTAGGAAAACAAGATTGACAAAAAGGTTCTAAATTTATTTCAATTGTGTACTTGCACTTCAAGAAGACTATCACAGATACCCACACCTGTGACCAATGACACCAGCACCAGCTGATCGTTTTTAAGCAAAATGGCGTGTTTAAGTTGAGCTGAGTTTCTCCACATAAGTTAGAATAATAAATTAAATACAGCACCACATCGCTCTTGGAATTTGTTGAAATATAATTCTTTAAGTCTTTTACTTCATTTAGATTTATTATTTGTTTATGTATTTTATTGTAACTCTTGATATATTTGTTTTGTGTACTGGGCAACTTCGATGCATTGTTAGTTTTTCTACATAGCTTCACACCTGCCTTTGTGTTAAGTAATAAATATATATAGAGAGAATTGAGGTTTGGTCAAAGAATCATTATGAAAGAATAAGAATGCGTCACTTAAAAGAATTGATACCTGATGGGCTTGGATAACTTGAAATCCAAAGGAAAGAACAGTCGCTAATGTAAACAAATGCCACGTTTCAACAACCAATCAGGATAGAGATACCCAAACTACGTCACTTGCAAGTATTCCATTGCAGTTTCTGATGTAATATAGATTTATCAACAAGAATTACACGCAGTGAAATTCGTATACTTTGCAAACAATTATTTTAGAAACTAGCAGATCAATCTTTCTATCAGTAAATTTACGTTCGATTAAAGCCCAGGCTTAGTCCGTACCTTCTTAGGCATAGTCCGTATCTTGGATTTAAGCAATACGGCGTGGTATGGAAATGGGCAAAAACGGAATGGCATGTACAATTTAATTTAGAGCAAATTGACTTATGACTCATCACATTCGAAGAGGATAGATATAATTTAATTCTTAATAAACAGGCTATTAATGTAAAATAAGCGATTACTGCAAATAAAAAGGTTTTGTTGTAGCACATAATAGCTTTGCCATCTAGCGATTACTAAGAAAATCAAATATGATGATCCAAAGATAGAAGATAAAATTGTGTCATTTAAACAGTGACAGTAGCGAATTTTCGCAATAAACAGATTGTTAAAGGCTATATTAATCTGCAGGGTCGGGTCTTTTCAATGCAAGAATATCATTCAGTCATTTAGTCTCTTAAATTTAAAGAGTAATACAATCTATTATATCATTCAATCAATTACTCTATGAATCAGTTTTAAATACCTTAAATAGCGATTGGTTTAGGAGCTATGCAGAGAAAAAAAAAGTCTCCACCAAAGAATATGGGTTTCTTCTCTATGGTTCTTGATTCTATTGCTAACCTAAAAATATCCGTTATCATATTATTCTAAAAAACTAAACATACATACATTACACATCTAGACAATTACGGTTTCACAATTACGGTTATGGTTCAATATGGCAGCTCAGAATCATTCCAAAGATTCTGAGCTACTATAATGTTCTTTCCTTCATTTCTTGTCATACGTTATTTTTTTATTTTTTTTTTATTTTTTTGATTTTATAACCTAAAGTACATAAAATTGCGGTCCTTTGGCGTAGTATAGCCAAGTCAACTTTTGCTCTATAAAATATTACACTCGATCTTATCCTCGGTGAAACTTAATGTACTTACTAGTAGTAAACTTACTTATTTCTAATTGCTAGGATAGTCATGGACTTGAGATTAATTTTAGAGCTTTAAATCCTATGATGCACGCCCTCGTATCCTATTGATATTTCCTGTTTTTGACAGCTAAAGGTTTTTTTCTCTAAAAGAGGATCGGGAAAAACGACCCAACAATCCAACCCTAGTTTTGCACCAAAGGATAACGCATTTACCAATTCTGCTGTTTCGTATATGCTTGCAACGTCACTTATCTAAGATTATGTACATATTTAGGCATTGAATAAAAAAAATTCCCGTTATTCAGAGTAGTGTTTGTTTTTGTTGAAATTTCGACGTGGTTCATGCCTCACTAAAAGCTTTGTTATATTTTCCACCATAACTGATCGTTATTACTATTTCGTTTCTTTAATGACATAGACTGAGCAGTAGGTCTAAAGCGAGTAATATTCTTTTTTCATTTCATTAAACTGTGATCATATTTTTCTACAGGCCTGTGATAATCGAAGTTCCACACTTTGCATCAACACGTGGCAAAGAGAGAGAAATCACTATTTTGAGGAGTGATACAGGGGAGAGTTGGAGAGAACATACCCTTGAAGCATCTGAAGAAGCTGTGCAAGAAGTACTGAATGAGAGCTTTGAAGGAGAAGGTAAGAGTATTATTTAAAAGCCATTACCAGTGTGCTGTGAATTTTATAATGTCTCAAACATCTTTGAGCAATATAATAACACTGTTTAACGCCTTAACGATCGGTTAATTTTCAAGAAAACGTTCATAAAAGTGCCTATTTTTTTATCACACATCACGAATACATGTATTTGATTAGTGCTGACATCTAATTTAAAATAAACTATCTGCAATCACCTTAAAAATATCCTGGTACTGTCATCTGGTGTGCAAAATGAGAAATAAAATTTTTTCCGTTCAAAAGAATGAATTAGTTTTATTCTTATTGGCGCGTTACTACTGAACACTCCAGCCTGGAAATATCACGGGAGCGAGAAATAGAGAGAGAAACCTCACCCAGTCATTTTCACGGGAGCGAGAAGGAAAAGGTTAATATTGAAACCGCAGTTTTTTTATTTATTATATTGTTTTGATTTAAATGTTGCATTCTCTGATTCCGATGAAGTATTTTTATTTCTGAAAAGTTTTGACGTCATATGGGAAGAACGTTGAGAAGAGAGACAGCAATGCACTTTGCATGCAAAGAGGAAAGTAATTGAATTTGGGAGACTACTGCTTCGTGCTTTCGTTCGTAATACGATAATAGAGATTTTGAATCTTCATGTAATACATTAGTATTCTGTATTACTTCAAAGTAATCTGATACTTTTACAGATGGCAAAGTAATCTTAGATTATTTTTTAAACATACGTACGTAATCATGTAGGACACTAATGTCAAATCTCTCTTACATTCTAAATTTTCTGAACAGGAACACAAGCGAGTTTTTATTTCTTTTTATAACCGGGGTTGAATATCTGACCCGATTCTGAGTTCATGACTATCAATGTTCAACTGCATTTGCATTGTAATTTTGAGCTAAAGCTAAAAGAAAAGTAAACTCCTGGATCAGGTGTTGAGACAAACTAGCCTTCGTGGAGAACTTTTTGATAGAACCACGAAACCTCCCTCGGTTCAATTGACATCAAGGTGATTTGAACCCATGACCCATCTACCACTGAGGATATTTTATGACAGCACTGTGAGCCGTGCATACCTAGAACAGAATTCATATCAACCAGCCGCCTCACGGACTCGAACATGGGTCACCTCTTTGGAAGGTGGACGCTCTTATCTCTAAGCCAAAGTGGTGCAAATTATGAGCCACATAAGGGTCCTATGAGGGAAACCTTATTTTTAGTGTCATGGGTTCATTCATGGAAGTCAAGTTGTGACAAGCTTGCCTCTTAGCTGCGTGTGGCACCTATATTAGTCGTGTGGCACCTATATAACCGATGTTTCGTCATTTTATTTCATATTTAAGTTTTGCTTAATTTTTTTCGAACAAAAATAACTTTTTAATTGATGATTGCTCGTAATTATCTGTGTTTAGTCAAATTTAAAACTTTTGAAAATTGTTTCCATTCGCAGAATTGAGTGCTCTTGAAGACTTGAACACCAACAGAATCACCAGAATCCTTACCACGGACTTCCCACAATACTTTGCGATTGTCACCCGAGTTCGCCAAGAAGTGCACGGAGTCGGTCCTGAAGGTGGTATGGTCAGCTCTACAGTTGTGCCTCAAGTCCAAGCGATATTTCCGGAAGGTGCTTTGACTAAAAAGATTCGAGTTGGGCTCCAGGTAAATAATAAAAATACGCCTGATATTAAAAGCAATCCTAACTGTGCCAATCATATATCGAACTTGAATCCAGACTCAGAGAGTGAGAGTACAATCTCGAAGCGAACAACTTTTAAAAAACCTAAGAAATTTAAGGAAAAATCTAGGTTGCTTTCTCGCGCCATTCAATTTGTTTGGTCCAATTTAGATGTGTTTTCTTTTATGTAAAATGCTTGTGTGTACTGAGATTCTGAAGGAATAGTTCGTATAGTTTTAGTTTAATTTGTTGGGACTAATTGAATGGAATTTCAATGTGTCAATTTATTTCGTCTTGCAAATTTACTATTGAATATTTGGACTAAGCTATCTAATGCTAATTTTTTTATAAAACAGTATAAATTTTCCATCACTCAATTAATTTAATTTAATATTTTTAAAATCAGTTTGACGATGTAATTCTGTAAGTTTTTAACCTATTGGAAAAAAATATAAAGTTAAATAAGTCAATACTATAACAAATGACTACGCTAAGAATGGGTGTAAAGTAACTTCAGGTTGCAAAACAGATGGGTAAAAACAGGATAAATCGTTAAGTATTATGAAATATAGACACAAAAAGTATTAAAACCACATAATTATGGAGTATTAAAAATGTATGAATTAAGATACACATAATCACTATTGTGCTTTAGATCAGTTCAAATTCACATACAAATTTTGCATAATTCTGAAACTAATTAAATCATAATAGAAGAATAATCTTAAATAAGATTTTTTTCTTTAAGTAATACGTACACTGATTTAAAAACTTTTCTAAGATTGTACGATATGTTAATTTTCCTTTCAAATAATATTTATTTAAGTAATAAAATTAATTATATATTTTCTTCACTTTCAAAAATATATCAAAATGACTGTGTTCTTCTGAAACTAAGGTATTTAATATGGTTTGAACGTTTTTTTCCCTATAAATAATTTTAACTATTATATCCTGCAAATAATCCTAATCTTAATAGTTTTTGAAATGTTATTTATAATACAAATCAATATGATCTGCAAAAATGTAATAAAGCAGTAGTTTGAGGAAAAAAAGCCAAAAATAAATTTCGAAAGTTGTGAAATTATTTACAAAAATCTAATTATTCTTGTTCGCAGTCTTAGTAAAATTGTAAATACTTACTTGCCTGTATGAATAATTTAATATTTTAATTGTTCTTCCGTAGTCAATAACGTAAAAGTAAAACAGTTAAATTATAACTTGTGATATCAAAGAGTACAAATACTACAGTATTAATTTCAGAATCAACAATTTTTTTTAATAAATTTACTTTATGTTTCACATAACCATAACCATTCACTACACAATCATTAAAACTCTGTAATTATCATTATCATGAATCTCAGAAATTCACACATTTTTAGTTTTAGATGTAGACTTTGTAAATAGTTTTTGGCTCTTGTAGATGAATGAAGGTGTATTCTGATCATCGACTTTAACAAAACATCGACTTGAAGTCTACTATTTGCTTTCTAAAATTCCCTAATAGTAATGTTAAGGCAGCTAAAGTATTTCAAATTGCCAAACACCAAAAGAAAAGTATACCTTGCCACAAAATCTTAAACATTCTCCTCTTAGTAAGCGGTAAAAAGTTGCAAGATTTGCCTCCTATTTTGAATTTGGTGGGAGGAGACGTCGAAGGAACAGAAACCTAAACATATTCTTTTTAGTGGTCACCCTTCTTTCTTTTTGGAGGATTTCAATCTGAGAAAGAAAACAATGAAGCGTGAGTAGCAATGACAAAAATGCCTGTTTAGGCTTTGGAACCATGAACAAAAAAAAAATAACACTGAAAAAAAAAAAGTGCTCTAGAAGCTAAACATAGAAACCAGATTCAACGTTCATAATAAACAAGCAGCCTCTGCAAGCGCATTTCACACATTATTTAATTTTTATTTAATATACAGCTTGTTTAACTCTTGTAATTTCTGAAGTATGAGTTCGGTTTGACTTTGTTTTAATCTCTGAATTGTTTTAATTTCTGAAGTATGAGTTCGGTTTGACTTTGTTTTAATCTCAAAGTTATTCAGAGATTGAAATATATACAAGACTCAATAGCTCATTTGACTAGGTAGCAATGTCAGATATCTAGGTAGGCATAGGCTCAAAATTCTTCTTGGGCATTAAACACAAATAACTTTATTAGTCTTAGAGCCTAGATTTTAATTTCATTCATTTCAATGTAATATATGAATGTATAAGCAATACTTTGTCTAAATTGTAGCGTCGGACGAGTAGTAAAAGCTGCAAATCAAGGCAATACATAAAATATGCGTGATTAAGATGTTGAAACATTTAAAAAGTTTTAGGATTTCATTTTATATCTAAAATATAAAAATTTTTATGCATTAACCACTAATAATTTCTGAAATATTTATTTTAAAAACTCTGATTAGATTTCATATGAGTTAGCGGGGAAAAAAAACTATGAAAATACTTCATTTTTCTAGTGCGTTTCTTCCCTCTTTCCAAAACCTTTAACGTTGCGCAATTTTTTAGCCATTACCAAGAGGAGGCTACGTAACAGAGACTAGACCAGGGTAGAATTTTTTTTTCTTTTTTTTTTTTGAATGTTTGTATTAAATATTATTTTCATTATATTATAAGACTAATCAGAAACTATTCATAATCCAGTTAAAGTCGATGCACCATTTGAATGCACTCCACTTTGTTATTTTAGATGTGATTATTCCAAATGATAAATTTAAATCAACAAATGGAAATATTTTTATTAAATTTAGTATTAAATTTATGAACTAAATTAGCTAGCTGATATACTTTCTCTAATAAATTATGGACGAAGTCTAGTTTTTAAAAAGATATATTTTACTGACGCTGTATAGTTTACGTTTTGTTAAGTGTTGATTGGATACATTCTATTTACTGTTCTAAAGTTTATAACTTGTTATACATTTTTAATTATAATACTTGAAAATTTACTTCTTGTTAAATTCTTAATATACTCATGTATGTAGATTGTTAGATTTGTCTTACTATTAAAATACTCTCTTGAAGATTCCAAATGAATTTATGAACGGGTTTAAGTTTAAATATATTTAAAAATATTTTTTTCGGTACTTTAGCTGCTAGAATATTAACGACAGTCAAATTAATATTATAAATTCCTGAGTCTTCAAAGCATGTGTGGTATTCTTGTATTTTTTTGCGGTACATTAATTTTGCATAACTTAATTTTGAGTAATTTCAATTTTGCGTTTTTTTTAAAATAATTTTAGCTAGTTTTAAGTGATCCATATATTTTTGAGACATTTAAAAAATAAACTCATTTTTCTTTCATTTAGGTTTAGAGGTTTAATTTAGGAAATTTATTACTTAATTGCTACTTCATTGAGGTAGGCTCAAATGATATTTCATAATTTATTTGTCGTTTAAGAATTTCTACAAAAAAATATAGTATTACACAATATTTAATTGAGAATGTATTTTCCAGTGCTACTCAAATATAATTTAATCACTAAATTTAATTTCTTATATTATGGTTATTTGCATTCCTGGACGTCTTTTATTTTTATATTCTTCTTATACATTTTTTAAATATCTATTTTTAATGATTTTTTAGATTTTATGGATGTCTTAATCAAATTTTTTTGAACAGAAAGAAAACGAGCGAATCGAAAGTTTTTTATAATAAAATGAATATAAGAATAAAAATTTAAAAAAATTATGCATCACAATATTATTTATATGATTTTGAATAATGTAAAAAAGAAGGTAGACAAATGGTGGAATCAGTTCTGATATACATCAGCATCAAGGTTTGAAAATTATTAATGATTTTAAGATAAAGGCTTTCCAATGTTTAGATGAGTTGGGAACTTTACCCTTTATTTTGAGTTTCTGAAATGACTTTAAATACCAAAAAAAATTTCATAGAAACAGTTTAGATATTACTGAAATCCAAAAATGTGATTAGTCTAAAAACAAAAAATCTTTTTTTTTTCCTCGGTACTTTTCAGTTAGCCAGCCGCAACAAAAAATAGCCAAAAATATAAACCTTCGCCAATTTCTTATTTAATTTATTTAATAAACACATAAAAATAAAATAAAAGCTTTTTTTTTCTCCTAGTTCACAGAAAAATATCCTTTCTTTGAACTTTCAGTGCTCGTGTCTTCCATTTTGATCTTAAAAGTCTAGTATTAAAAAAAAAAGCTAGTCGTAGAAAATAGTCTATACTTATACAAAAAAGAAGGAAATCTCTAAATTGTTAAAAGTTTGCACTGGTTAAGTTTCGTTTAATTAAAGCTTATTTTTTCATAAAAATAAACACGATAATTTTTTTTTCTTCATTTAACTAAAGGTTTAGTGTCATAACTAATTTTTACGTAAATTTTGTTTTTTATCAAAAAGTATTTTGATTGTATTCTTAGTTTTTGAATTACAGATTAACTCAGAGAGATCATGAAAGTCAGAAAAGTTACTGAAGATCATAGATAATTGAGTAATTCATTGCGCATAATGCTATAATTCCTGTGTATAACACAGAGTACATTAGTAATATGCATGCTGCTACATGTTTAGTTCAATCAATTAATAATTAAAAGTATCGTCTGTCGAAAGCTGTGTCTTTAAATGTGAAAAATATTAAATAATCTCAAAGAACTGAAGTGGTAAGATATTACTCGATGAAAAAACTTCATTCGATTAAAAATTATTCATATTATAAATAACAGTCGACATGCTTCAAGCGATCAAAAATAGGAGCGCATTTTCTAGATTTTCAACACTTCCATGGCATGTGGAAATGCATTTTACCCTAATTTGCACCTCTCTGCCACAGCGATTTTTCTTATTCTGTTTTTTCATCTTTATTCATTTTCGGCAACCGAAGTTTTTCTAGTTTTGTTTCGCACCTTTGTTTACTATTTTTTGTTCACTTTTAATCCTTTTCTTTCACGTCTGGCAAGTCTTGATAATGACCGCCATTTCTTGAGAGCTTGAAGC